CTCAGGGAGCCACCCCAGGTCACCTTCGCACCAGGATTCCAACTGTCCCCCTGGACACCAGGACAGCACACCTCCAAGATAAGAATGACAGTCTCCACTTCCGAGGAACACACAGGCCTCCGCCCTTCCCCCTGAAACCTGGGTGGATGCCTTCCTGGTTCTCCTAACAGAAATCCAGGTAATCTAGAAACATGTGCCTGAGGGCCTGAGCGGAACAAAGGGAAGGGACTAGGAAGGTCAACCCCACCTGAGGTGAGTGTGTGGAAACAGAGCTGGGCATTTTAGTCCATAGATAGCAGACCCGGTCTTTGTACTTGGAACTTTCCAAGATTTTTTTTTTAATACTGAGAAATAGGGTTCTACCTTATTGCCCTAAAAAACCATTACTAAAGCTTGTTATTGTTGGGATAAGTGGGAGGAATCCTTTCTCAGGTAGGAAATGGAGCTGGTGGGGGCTGCACTCTGGTCTTGAAGGAGTCACAATGGGCTGCAGGCTGTGGAGAGGCCTAAGGAGGAAGAAAAGGCACCTGTGAGGTTGAGTTCCATGGGGGACACCCTGGAGCTCCCTGTGTGTTGTCCCTCTGCAGCGATACCCTCAGAAGGACCCCAGGCCTACTCTCTCTCCCCACAGGCCCCGTGACGCCCCGTGACTCACCATGGGAAACACCTGTAGATCCCAGCAACCTCATCTTTAGGTTTAAAAATGGAAACGGTTTGACCTCGGTGATCTGAGAAAAAACAGCTTACCTTCTACTGCACCACTGTTTGGCTCCTCTATTGACTAGGAAGTGGACGGATGGGTACAGGATGGCAGTCTGAACTACAGTGCTCTTTTGCATTGGATCTTTCCTGCAAAAGGCAAGGAAAGTGGACGGAAGTCCCTCTGTCCAGGCTTTCACTGCTCTTTATCCGAAACCATTCCTCTGCAAAGGCCCAGGAGATGCGGTGCTTCGAGAGACCCCTGCAGAAGAGGCCGAGATCGTTGATGATTCCATCCTCGGACCCTGCCTGTCTCTCGGGAACATGGGTCTCCCTCTCGTGTCTAATGAAAACGACCACACTGAGAGGACTCCTCAACTTCCCCCTTGGCATCCTCAGGCGTCACTCAGTGCCACCCTCTCCAAAGGACCCAGAACTCCACCTTCAGTCAGCTCCCAGAGGTGGAAGACTCCCCAGGGCCCTCCTCCTGCTCCTCAGACAGCTGTGAGCCCCGCAGCACACACTCAGAGTGGAGTTTCCCACTCTTGCAACTCACAGCTCTCCTGCCCTCAGAGAGGTCCCAGGAGTAGAGGGGACTGCTCAACTCCAGGCTCCTTTTTCAGTGGCAGGTATCCAAAATACAAAGGACAGTTAGGCCAATTTTCAGAAGATTCTAATAGGTTTGCAGATTAGTTTCAAATCTTTTTTTTTTTAAAGCAAGCTCTGGCAGGTTTTATTAATGAAGAATTTTTAATGGCTTATTTCTCACCAGTCTGTGCTGGCATGCTTCTGGTACGATGATATCAGAATCACCTAGCCTCACCTGGTGGCACACGTCTGCAATCTCAGCTCTTGGGAGGCTGAGGCAGGAGAATTACTGTGACTTCAAGGCCAGCCTGAACTACATAGACTCTGTCTCAAAAAAAAAGAATCACCTGCATCAGTGATCGCCAGTGTGTATACTCTGTAGCATTTTCCACATGTGTGCCCAGTTTAGTATTCCTGGTGATGGAAATTAGTGTTGGCCAACATGGTGTGGCATATTTCAGACTTCCTCAAAGCTGGGCAGTTACTGGGGAGGATGACTAATTTCACTCTGCCCTGTCTGATCATCTTCAGAGTCTGCTTGTCCTCCAGAACGCACTTTCCACTTTTCAAAACAAGTTGGAGCTTGGAGTCCATGGACTCCAGAGACTTTTCAGTCTTCTTTGCAGCCAAAATCTTCTGGCCTTAGGTGTGGGACAGGCCCTCAACAATGAGCAGCCACCAAGATGCCAGGGAGCGAGAAAGCAGTGATTCAAACTTCGACCCTTGCTTTTGACTTCACATAGCAAGATGTCCAACATGTCTTGGCCTCTTGCTGCACCCCAGATGCAAAATGAAGAATCCTAGGAGAGGCTTGGAGATAGGCAGATGAGCAGTATGCTTCGGAAAGAGAAGAGTCACCCCAGAGAACTTACTGTCCCTCCAGCAGAAGCAAACAGGATGGACTAGAAATGAGGTCTAAAATGATGCCTGCTCTTAGCATGGGCATAAAAAGATGCATTAAGAAACCTGTTAATTATGAAAAGGTGAGCGAGGTTACACAAGGCAAAGAGGACAATCCAGCTGTCTTTCATAGTCAACTCGTAGAAGCTTTCCATAAATACACCAACTCAGATCCAACTCCCAAGGAACAAGCACCAATGGGAAAGCATTTCCCATTATCAGTCAGGCCCAGCTGTTTGACACAAATTACAAAAATTTCAGATGGGCCCCGGCCTCCTTTGACACAGTTGCTGAACACAGCCTTTTGCACTGGGATCTGGAGAGGAGGAACCAAGAGCAAAGGCAGGCCAAAATGGTAGCCGTCGAAACTGGCAGTGCCTTAAACACACCCGAGTCATCCAAGGGAAGCCCAGGGCCAATCAAGGAAAGAGGTCCTGTTTTAAATGCAAGGAAACCGGACACTGGGCATGCAGCTGTCCTAGGCCACCCCAGGCCCTGCTCCATGGGCATGTGGCTGATGTGACTGATTTATGGCAGTGGAGGATTGACTGTCCCACTGCTTAAATGGGCACTGGTATTAGACTTCTGCTTTTTATTGGATCCAGAATATGGGTAATCTTGCTAGGGTGGCAGCTCTCAGGCTCTTGGTAGTTTATCTAATGTCCCTTTTCACCATGCTTTCCTTCCCACAGAAAGCATGAAAGTGAAACTTCTTAGAAAACTCCCAACTAAAGGCATGGAAAACCACTGTCTCTAATTGCTGGATCCTTCATAGTCCACCTTTCAAGACTGACCAAGAAATATTCTGACCTGTTCCTTCTCATATTTGGCTTCTGGCTCCCCAACCTGGTAGTGAAATTCATCCACTGAAGGCTTCAAAAGAGCCATCCTGAATGATGATCCAGCTCCCGACGCTGCTGACAAATCCACAGAGCTCTCTCCCATGGGACAGGTAGATCCACAATTCCTGACATGGAGGCTCTAAGTCTTCTCTCATTGTCTGGGACAGGCTCTTTCCAGCCCAGCCAGTGAACCCCAACATCCCAAGGGAGACAGCACAGGCCGCCCAGCAGGTGGGGCCCACACCCCCTTTCAGCAAGAAGCAGCTGCAAGAAGGAAGAGGCCAACACTGCCTCAGTACCCCATAAAGAGCTGTGGGGATTGGGTCTCAGAGGGAATTGAGGTAGGAGATTAGGCCGGGCCAAACTTGGTAAGAAGAACTGGGCGGAATCTGTCAAAGTCTTGGAGGCCACGTGCACAGAACACAGGACCCAGGTTGGCCCCGCAGCTCCTGGGCAAAGCACACGGAACCAATCAGAAAAGTCCTCTTTTCACTTCTTCATTTACAGCCGGCAGGAAACCAAGCCAGTCTTCCATAGGGCAGTTTAAACACGGCGCCAGGCTCACTGAGTTTCTGATTGGACAACCTCTCAATGCCTTATTTGCATGAGGAGGAAGCCAGTCCAGGAGTTCCAGATCCCAAAGCCCCTTTTCCCTTCTGGTGGCCACTGGGTGTCTGTCCCCGGCCGCGCTCTCTCTCTGCAGAGTGTACTTTTTCACCTTCAGTGAGTGTACACCCCGCTACCTTCTCTGTGTCCTGTCCAGTTCTCTGCTCAGGACCCCAAGATCCTGGAGAGCTCCCCGGGACCCATTTGCCATTTCTCCACATCCCTGACAATTTAACTTGTGTGGTTTGTTATTCATCACAGCCATCCTAATAGGTGTAGGGTGATTGTTTACTTTTTTAAATTTATGTTCCTTCCTTAGAATAGGTTTGAATAAATAATAAAAACTTGACAATGTAAGTATTTGCTTTCGCCAGAATCAAAGACGTGAGCTGAATAAGTAAGGGTTTCCCTGCCGAAGTTGGAGTGTAGATTCACACTTCCACTTCCGCAGTCTCTCCTCCGGGGTGGTGAAAACCGAGTTCCGGCGGCCTCGGTGAGTGGGGTTGAGCGCCCCATGCGGAAGGAAGAGGCACAACGCCCACTCAGCGAGGAGGGCAGGCGCGCCCTCCAGTGGCCGTTCCTTGCTGGTGTCGGTGACGAGGAAGCCGGCTGCCAAGTTCACAGTTCCGGTCTTCCGGCGACGTTACCAGGACCGGGAGTTACTGACGAAGGCCAATCCCTATGTTCCGGGTTTGGACCAGCTCCCTGTCCGGGCTCTGTCCTTCCATGTCTGTATGCACTCCGCCTTCTTTTCTGCTAGATCGTGCCTTTCCCATCGCTGGCTTGCTGTAGTTCAAAATTATTTTACTTTAAAAATTTATATCTATTTATGGAGTGCAGTGTGTACTAACACACAGAGCCTGGCATGGTGGTGCGTGCCTGTGATCTCAGCTACTTAGGAGGCTGAGGCAGGAGGATCTTGAATTCGAGGCCAGCACACATATACAATGTATAACGATCAAACCAAAATATTTAGCATTTCCAACTCATTAAATATTTGTCATTTCTCTGTACTAGGAACCTTCCAACTTCCCTCTTCCAGATCTTTATAAAATATATAAAGTATAGTCTCCCTACTGTGCTGCAGTAGACTAGAACTTATTCCTCCTGTCTAACTATGTTCTGTGTGTTTAAATGGAGATCTTGCTATGCTGCCCAGGCTGGCCTCAAACTCAAGATCCTCCCGCCTCAGCCTCCCTCCCGAGTAACGGATTACAGGCACACACCACCGTGCCAGGCTCTGTGTTCTGGTACCTGTTATCCAGCCTCTCTATCCATGCCCTCCCCTTTCCCAGTCTTCAGTGACCTCTGTTCTACTCTCGATGAAATCATCTTTTTAAGCTTCTACAGGTGAGTGAGAACATACAGTATCTGTCTTTCTGTGCCTGGCTTATTTTGACTAACGTAATGTCCTATGGTTCCATCCATATTGTCACACATGACAGGATTCCACTTTGTTGGTGGCTGAATAGTATTCCATTGTGTTTATCCATTCACCCATCAATGAACGCTCATGTCGATCCCATATTTGGCTGTTGTGACTTATGCTGTAGTAAACACAGGGACTCAGACGTCTCTTTGTCGCACTGCTTTCATTTCCTTTCCATTTATCTCTTGAGTTTTATCTCTGAAAACCCCCTCTTTCCTCAACTGGCAGTCACAGGGACATGGTCTCCATAGCGTCCCTCACCCTGATGCCTACAAAGATAATGAGAAAGGTCCCCTGGTAGTAGAGTTTCTGCAGTCAGAGTCAGGACAAGGTACAAAGGCTTCAGAAATTCCCTGAAACCCCTGTTCCTGGAAGACCCAGGGTGACACCCTTGTCCCTTGGTCTGCATCCTTCCTTCCCCCTATGGTGCTCACCCCTCTTTGTAGGGTGTCCCTTCCCAGCCCAGAGCTGAATGAAGTGGCTTTGAAGCATGGCCGAGGTGTGAAGACAGCCAATCAGGAAGAAACTCGAGTCCACTGTGGGAGCTGTGAGGTGGAAAGAGCAAGTTTTTGTTTGTTTATTTTGTTTTGTTTTGGAGACAGGGTCTTGCTATATAGCTCAGGCTGGCCTCGAACTCGTGGTAATCCTCCTGCCTCAGCCTCCTGCTTGCTGGGATCACAGGCGTGCGCCACGATGCCTGGCTCAAAAGAGAGGCTCTTTGGAGTCAAATACATCTGGGTTTCAATCCCAGCTCTGTTTCTTTGTAGCCATAGCCACCTTGACCACATTTTTTATCCCAAATTCTGCATTGTAAGGTGAGAACAATACCTCCCTCATAAGGAAAGTAAATAAGATCAAGTACAAAACAGCTTACGCAGTACCTGGTTTAATGGCTCCCTGGCTCCTTTGCCCCCCAGCACCCCGAACCTCCTGCCCAAGACAGATTTTTAAGACAGTTGCACAATAAGCAACACCCGGGCAGCAGAGAATGGGCACTTTGTTCAGGTGCAGGTGTAGGACTGCGTGGGGAAGCTATTTCCTAACCAGCCTATCTGATTCCTGAGACTTTTTCCAGCTCCTCGAGCCAGAAGTCTGGGAGGGCTTCTCAGTTTCTCTTCTCTCATCCACCGTCTCTCATCTCTAAGTTCTGCTCTTTGTTTGAAGACAGTCCACACCCTTCTGGTTGTTGCCACCCCTTCCTCGACTTCAGTCACCATCATCTCTTCCCTAGAAACGCGCGGCGTCCTCCTGTGGGGCTGACCTCCGGTACTGTCCCCTCTGACTTCCCCAGAAGCGGAGCACCGTCTCAGTGCAAGTCTTAGCAAGTCTCCTCCTGAGTCAAAGCCCTTACTGATCGTTTACCAACCAAGGAGAAGCCTGAACGCCCCAGCATGGCCTCACTTCCTGTGTGGACTCTGCGCTACTTTCCAGCTCGCTCTCTCTCCAGCCCCTCCTCCTCCAGGCTCCGACCCTCGAGGGGCAGTCGCAGTCCCAAGGGTAACTCACCATAGCTGGGGCGCTTCTGGGGCTGGGGTTTCAGTGCTAAACCCCAGCCAGCCCTGGGCAAACCGGAATGCTCCACCTTTCAATCTCTTATTGCATCTCAAGGACGCTCCCCCTCCATACCCCACCTCACTTCCCGTTTGCTAAGTCCGACTCACCTTGGGGTTTCTGCTTGGATGTCGCTCCTGTAACTCAACATGGAGCCGCTCCTGTGTTCCTTCAATGAGCTTCTGTTCCTCACAGCTACCACTGTATTATAGCAACTGCTTTACTTCCCAGACATAATAATCCCATTAAAAAGAGGGACAGGTGTTTCCTTCACACCCACACAGGCCCTCTGATTTAATGGGGTTTTCATCCTTGGTTCAACCAATCAGGAATCAAAAAATTAGAAAAAAAACTAGTTATGTTATTGCTAACATGTGTGATGTAGTTAGGCCTGCATGGTACATCTGTGCTGAGCGGGTAGAGTTTCTTTTCTTGTCATTATTCTCTAAATAGAACAGCAGAAAAACTATTTCCAGAGCATTTACATCATATAAGGGATTCTAAAGTATCAAGAGCTGGGCATGGTAGTGGTGCATATCTGTAATACCAGCAAGCAGGAGGCTGAGGCAGGAGGATTCCCACGAGTTCAAGGCCAACCTGGGCTACATAGTGAGTTTAAGGCCAGCCTAAATTACAGAGCAAGATCCTGTCTCAAAAAAACAAAAAACAAAAAAAGTTATTTAGAAATAATTCAAAGTACACAGAAGGAGCTAGGATGTAGCTCAACAGTACAGCCCAGTGCTTACCACGAAGAGATCTTGAGTTCAATCCCAAGCACCGAAAGAAATAAAAATAAATAAAGTATATGGGAGTATGTCGGTAAGCCATATGCAAATTATTTGCATATAACGGACTTGAGCATCGTTTGATTTTTGGTAGCCATAGTTGTCCTAGAACAAAACACGTTAGATTCTGAGGGATGGCTGTATTCCAGAATCTAGCAGAGTCTGGCACATGGTAGGCACTGTATTTTAAAAGTTTGCTGAATTCATGAATAGCAGTATCTTTTTCAATTATTCCCCAGTTCATGGCACTGTGCCATGACCTATGGACAGGTAAGGGTCACACAGGGAACCATCTGGAAGCCAAGAGTCTATTCCAAAACGTTTGCACAAATGTTTCCCATCTCACAAGCTCTTCCCGGACCTCCCAGCCTTCCTGGGTCTGGGTCCCTTCTGCTGCAAGTCGGACAAGCCTCTCCAGCTGAGGATGGTGGAAATGACCCTGTGAGTCTCCCAAGACTGGAACCTCACGGGGGATTCAGGTTCCACCGGGCTCGCTCCCACTCTGTGAGAGCCCCAGGCCACAAGGACGGGAGCAGACAGCCCACCCACAGCCCTGGCTCAGCGACCGGTAGATGGCGACAGCTTCGGACCACGTCCCTCTGCTATCTTGGAACTGCGTCGTTCCGCCCTCCGAGGAGAGGACCAGAGTGCCTCGTGGGTCTGAGGCGAGATTCCTACAGAGCCTTGCCCAAAACACAGATTCACAGGAAAAATTACCAACTTCTTGCTGCAGCAAGTAAGGTGGGGCTGGCTCGTTCCACAGGAATAGACAAATGTAGCCGAAGACAAGATGCCTCTGCTAGTTCTGGATGAGGCCTTCTTTCTCTTGAAAGTTCACTGGCTTGGAAGTTCTTGTTTTATTCCACAAGGAACCAGGGGCAGACTCCAGTCTGGCCCAAACGTCAGCCCATAATGTGACTGGCTCCTGACGTAATCTAAGGGTAGCCAGGGCCAAAGAGGTACAAACACGTGGAGCTGCAGGCCACCCCAGCTTCTGCATCTGCCCATGGCTCCTGGGGCAGACTGTGCAGCTGGGTCTTCAGGAATAGACACCCTTCCCATTAGCCATCTGCTTTGCCTCGGGAAGGACACAGGTCTCAGTGCAGGGTGACACGTTAGTGCCATGCTGGGTGGTGGCAACAAATCGATTGTAATTTGGTCATGTTTTGCCCCTGCCCATCACTTAGACATCCAAACCACTGTCCTATGTTACACCTCCCCGGGCTACTGTGTTAAACCAGTCAAAATATATACACAGTATTGACGTATAGGAACAGAAGGGTTGGGCATGGTGTGATTGGCAAGCATTTTTCTTCTCCATTATTCTGCTCTCCCTAGGTGAACGAGTACCCCAGAATGGTAACTTCTAGGACATGGCCATGGCTGCAGGGGTAGATCGGTTTAGAGTGCATGACTACTATTTGCAGCTGAGAGACATTTCCTGTTTCTGGTGACTCTGAAGCCCATGTGGATGGAGGGAGGGGTAAGGAAGTGTGGTGGGAGAGCAGGTCTGGTCCCTCGCTGGTGCTCTCAGCTTGACAGTGGGTTCGGTCCTTCACCCCATGACACACATCAGTCTGGTGGCCCTGCTCGGGTGGTTATGGCTCCAGCTGGTTCTGGGACCTCCATTCTCTCCCCTTGGCTGCTTCTGCTGTGGCCCATGTCCGGATGCCTTGCTGTCCCTTCTGGACTCTCCAGAAGCTGCACGTTAGGGACTGGATCGTGTCCCCTGCACACTGCTATGCTGAAGTCCTCACTCCCCAAGTCCCGGGGGGCACTGTGTTTGAGAGGGGCCTTAAGAGGTCACTGGGGCTCCTCGAGGTGATGCACTACAACTGGGCCCCTAGAGATCAGGATACAGGCACACACTGAAGAGAGCCCATGGACAGACACCGGGACGATGGCCATCTGTGAGCCAAGTACACAGGCTTCAGAAGAGGCTGCCCTGCTGACACCCAGGTCTTGGGCTTCCAGCCTCCACAGCTGTGAGGGCCACCCTCACAAACTAAGCCCCCATGATAAAGAGCTGCTTCGTGAAGCTGCTATTTTCCTCCTTCCCTACTCAGTATTACCAATGGCCATCTGCTGTCCCTTCCTCAACCCAAAGTACCTACCTCCATGTTCTAAGTTAATTGTTGAGGTTTATGTCATGAGATCAAACCAGGGCCTCCCGCTTGCTAGGCCAACCCTCTGGCACTGAGCTACATCCCGGTCCTCTGGAGTTTACTTGGAGACAGGCTGTCACTAAGTTGCCCAGGCAGGCCCTGCATTTGCAACCCTCCTTGCCTCAGCCTTCTGAGCATCTGGGAGTACAGGCATGCGCCACCTCACTGGCTTGTACTATGCATTCTTTCCTTACTGAGATACTGTAGGACTCACGTTCACAACAAAGTACTTCAACCTAAAAGGTTTCTAATAGAAGAGCGAGGTGGACGCCAACTCTCCACAGTGTAGAGCATCTTGTCATTCCTATAGAGTCCTTTCCCATGTTCAAATCAGCTCTGGCTTTGGGTGGGGAGCAACTGAAGCCCAGGGTGCCTCCAGAAGTGCTGCATGAGGATTTCAGTTGCTGCTCCAGGGGCTGGAGGGCCCCACGGATGGATGAGGAGGCCAAGCAAGATGAGCTGGAGGTTTTAGAGGTGAACTGGAACTGAGGGACATCTAGGGAGGAAAAGGTATCATTAAAGGGAGTTATTTAAACATCACAGGACGCTTTCTAATTACACTTCTTGCAATGATATCAAACAGCTGTACAAAATCACAGGGCCGGACGGGACTTACTGAGATTGCCCAATTCTCCTCCCTCCGCCGCATGCAATCTTCACCTTGAACTCAATAAATTCTTCTGTCTCCAAAGCACATTCACCAACATTATTTCATTTGAACCTCAAGAAAGTCATGTGACTATGCAGGTAGGAAGATATTAATACTCTTCAGCTTATAAATAAATGCAAGTGAGAAACGGGCCAGGTGGTGACAGCCCAGGTTCATGAGCCCTGGCATAGTTCCCATGGTTTATGCACTCTGTACACACACACACACACACACACACACACACACACACACAAACACATACACATAACCCAGACTCACAGAGAGAAAGGATTCCTCCTCGATGACAACTGGCTGCATCCAGGAAAGGGAAGAGGGACAAGCAGAGAGGGGAAGAAAGAGGAATAATATGAGCTGATCCTACAGGGGGAGAAGGCACAGTGGCTCTCAGTCTGCCCTCACTGGTCCCAGGGTGCGGAGAGACCTAAGAGGACTTGAGGAGTGGACGCCAGCCTCCTCGTCACGACCCGTTGCCCCTTCCTCCGCTCCAAGGCACCCAGTTGCTTGTCAGGTCTCTGATGCCCTGACAGGTCTATCTGAACGTACAGGGTTTCTCTGGATATGGGGAACGCCAGTGCAGGCTTTCATGGACTGGGAAATGGCATTGGCCCGTGACTGCTCCTCTCCTTGCACCAAGTCCCTCCTAATCCCATGAGGATGTAACTCACAGAGGGGTCCCGCCTGCCCCTACAGCTGCCTGGAGGTTCCTTAGCCCCCCACCCCAGTATCTAGCCCATCCTTGGAGGCCTCCCTCCTCCCAGAAGCTTGACTGTCTCAATCCTCCGGGATTGCTCCATCAGCAGGACCCCAGAGCCATAATTGTTGAGCCTTTGGCTGTCATGTGGGCCATATGGCATTTCTTGGACATTACTGTTCACCTCTGAATGTACTTCTCTGTCTCCTAGTGAGACTGTGAGCTCCCCATGAGCAAAATTGGAACCATTTACGTGGACGATTCTACGGTGCCTGCTGTAGGAGGTCCAGCATGGTTGATGGTGATTTTGTCATGGGAAAAGTGGTCAAAAATGGTATCCAAGTAGCAAGTGGCTAATCCGGGCATGGTACTGCACGCCTGTAACCCCAGCACTTGGGATGCTGAGGCAGGAGAATCACCTCGAATTCGAGGCCAACCTGAACTACAGAGTGAGACCCTGCCTCAAAACAAACAGACTAACAAAAAGTAGCAAATGGTTAAACCTCAAGAGTTAGAAGAATGGGAGTAAATATCGTTACTCATGTGACATCTTCGATGTTAAGATCCCCATGGAATAAGCATTTTCAGTGCTGTGCTAAGATCAGCACAAAGGAAGAGAATAAACAGGAATGTTCCTTCTGAGCTCCGGAGTAACAGTGAAGATAAGTGAGGTGCTGAGTGAAGAAAAAGCCTAGCTCCTGGGGCAGCAAGAATGGGCTCGCCTTCTCTCTCCCCTGTGACACTTTCAGGCTTAATCCGTTACCAGCAGAGCCATCTGCCAGATAGAGGACCCTTTCTCCAGAGCCTGGGGCACCTGCAGGCCCAGGCAAGCTCCTCTGTCGCCCTGGCAGGTCCCAGGGGTCCCCTGCTGAGTCTCTCTTCCCTCCCATGGGCTCTGGGAATTAGTCTGCTCCCTCTGCCTTTCTTCTGGTCCTGAAGACAAGCTCAAAGACCCTCTTCATTTTAAGACTTCAATCATTTACAAGAAAAAAGATGAGATTTAAGAGCAAAACAGGCAAGTTTTGTAAAGGGGTGAAAATCTTGCAGCCCTGAATCTCAGTCTTTCCAGGGCTGAAACACTGAGGAGAAATCTCCCGTGTGCTAACAGTGTTGGGGCTCAGGAACCTTTTCCTTCTCGCTGATCTTTGCTCCCTCGCTGTGAGCCCAGGCAGGTGTCTGCCTTGTCCGGAAACGCAGATCTCTTGGGCACACAGACTTAACAAAGAGCGCCTCTGCGTGACAGAACTCGAACCGCAAGTGTGTTGTCTGTCTCCTCAGCCCTCTTGTCCAGGCAACGCACACCTCACTGAGCCTCCAGCCCATGCAGGGCCTTCCCTACAGGGCCTTCCCTACAGCTCCTCGGCTATCTTTTTCTTTTTAAAACACAGTTTGGTTTTTGTTTTGGATGGATTACTTTTCTACATAATTCAGTATTTAAGTCCCAATTTTGTAAAGACCCCAATCTTTTCCCCTAGGCCCCCATCCCCTTGGTTTCCAGGGCAACCAGGGTTCCCTGCTGTTTCGCATCCTTCCAGAGATTATTCAAATCCAAGCCAGGGTACACAGCGGTGCAAATGTTGTAGACTGTCCCCTCTCCTTTTTAACAGTTGGAAGCACAGTGTGAACGCCATTGCTTTTTGTTCAGTCTGTGCTCGCGTGTGTGCGCGCGCGTGCGCTTGTCCCTACATGTCATTATGCCACTTCTTCATTTTTCCGATGCTCCGTTTACAGATAAACAACACTGATGGATGTCCAGGCTGCTGTCCATGCTCTGCCCGACATCAGCGACCTTCAGAGCGCACTCTGCTGTCGCCGTCTGCCTCACGCGATGCCGGTAGGTGGCACTTCACCAGCACTCGGACACTTTGGCAGTGTTGCACACGGCAGCCCTGGCCTTGCCCAGGCTGGTAAGGACAGCACCGTGTCATTTACATTCTCCTTCTTCTCTTTCTATTAGTACATGCTTGTGGTACAGGAAGTTTACATTCATCCTGGGGAGCAGGTACGTGCACTTCACACAGTTTCTTCTTTTTAAATCCTCTTCCCTCTCACCTTCCTCCCTCCTTCTCTAAATCCTCTTTCATGCTCGTTGATATTATTAATCTTAGCTCATGTCCATGACTATAACGTTTACATTCATTAAGGTTATTAGGTTCTTATATCTGGCGTATCTTTCTTCTGCCTACTTCTCCTTCCCCTCCCCTTCTCCTCTGGCCTTCAGTCTCCTGGGCCCTTCCTGTTTGCAAGAGATCTATCCCTTTGTTTCCTTCTATCCATCCTTTATCATGCTCTTTGTTTGTACTTTGCCTTACTCAAATGATAGATGCTAAGCTTGTGTGCCCAATTTATTTCACTTACCATTGTATTTTCCAGGTGCATCCATTTCCCTACAAATGTCTCAGATTTGTCCTTCTTTATAGCCAAGTAATATTCCATGATGTATAGATACTACATTATCTTTATTCATTTGTCTGTTGATGGATATACAGATTGCTTCCAGAATTTAGCAATTATGAATTGTGCTGCTATAAACATGGGTATGCATGTATCGCTGCAGTATGATGTCTTTAGCTCTTTTGGGAAGATATCTAGAAGGGGAATAGCTGGGTCATATGGAATTTCTAATTTTAGTTTTTTGAGAAATTTCCATAGTGGTTGTACTAGTTTACATTCCCACCAACAATGTAGGAGAGTTCCTTTTTCACTGCAGCCAGCCAGCATTTGTTATTTTTTTTAACCTCTTAATGATAGAAAGTCTTTTGGGTGTAAGATGGAACCTTAGTGTTGTTTTAATTTAATTTGCATTTCTCTAATGGCCAGAGATGTTGAACATTTCTTCCTACATCTGTTGGCCATTTATACTTCTCTCTCTCTCTCCTTTTTTTTTTTTCTGTTTGAAACAGGGTCTCACTATGTAGTTCAGGCTGGGCTCAAACTCACAACAATCCTCCTGCCTCAGCCTTTCCAGTGCTGGGATTCCAGGTGTGCACCACCATCCCTGGCTCTGTAGCACTCTTCTAGGAAGACCAACAACAACAACAACAACTGAAAATCTCTGATTGCCAGACATGTGCTAAGTTACATATTTACTATTTCATTTCATCTTCCCAGCAAATCTGTGAGGTGGCAAAGAAAAGTGAAGAAGGTGACAGAGCTGGATACAGTAGTGTGTGGCTGTGGCCCCAACTAGTCGGGAGGCTAAAACAGAAGGACTGCTTGAGCCCTGGGATTTGAGGTGGGCGAGGGCAACATAGTGAGACCCTGTCTCAAAGAAAATAAGGTGATAGTGACAATCTCCACTTTGTAAGCAACTGCACATATTTTAAAAATTTCTCAACATTTTAGATGACACCCACTTCACAGGTGATGTGATAATACTCCATCGAAATATGGATTATTATTTGAAAATCACAAAATCCTAAGTTTTGTTTGAGGCAGATAAACATAGTTGAAACCCACCTCTGTAAATTGTCCAAGCACAGGTTAGGGGCTGAGTGGGACGTAAGAGAATGAAGAGGGAGAAAGGCTCAGAGGAAGGAGGACCTAAGAGTGGCTGTGGTCCTGGCATCGACCCTGGCGTGGAGCCACTTCCAGGCTTTCCCCTCTGCAATGCTACAGGGAGGACCTTGTGTCTCCCATGCCCAGGAGCCTGGCCAGACCTGTCCAGTCTCCTCACAGGTGCCCCTGCTTTGGTGAAAACTGGTGAAGTACGATTTCCTTTTTTCCTCCTCACTTGTTCTGCAAGAAATAGCAGCAAGGCATTCAGGAGAAACAATCAACACAGTTTTAAAGATGCTCCAGGCTTGTGTTGTTGATTTATCTTGGGGTGAAACTGTCAGCTGCAGAGGTAGATTAAGCAATGTTAGTCCAGGTTTTGAAATTGAAATCCAAGAGTCCCAGCCTACACCATTCAGCCATCCAAGTAGGTGAAATAAAGGAGAGTTGTGCTGCAAAATGGGCACAGGCCATAAAGTCTGGGCAGTATATTAGCAAGGGTCATGGAGTTGTACTTCAAAACATTCATGCCTTAGAAAATTGGCTTCGACTGTAATGTTGGAAAAATATCACAGCACTAAATGCTATAGACACATACACACGCACACACACGCACACACACACACACACACACACACACATTAAAGCCCAGTAGTAATAGTGATTAAAACATGTCATCATTGCTAGGCATGGTGGCATATGCCTGTAATCTCAGCACTCGGGAGGCTGAGGCATGAGAATCGCCTCAAGGTTTGAGGCCAGCCTGGCTACATAGTGAGTTCAAGGCCAGCCTGGACTACATAGCAAGACCTTGTCTCAAAAATAAAAATAAAAGGTCCCAAGTTCAATCCCTGGTACCCCCCCCCAAAAAATTAAATTAAAAAAAATAAAACATGTCATCTCTAATATCCATACAATTAATAATATTATATAATTCACAAACATGGCACTTCCAGTGGACCCTAAAAGGAAGCTATTTTGTGCAAATGAAAACCAACAGGCACTTGGCACCTGTCTGAATGTTCAGCGACACAGGAACAGGTAGGCTCACTGCAGCTGCAAGTGACAGTGTAATTTATTCGGTCTAGCAAGATAAACAAGAGGAACAAGACAGAGCAATTAAATTCCGCTTTCCTAGCAGCAAAGGAGACAAGTAAAGACCCTGCAGGGTCCCTCTGGAGGGTTGCCTCTGCCTTGTGAGTCCTTATCATGAGGGGTTTTCCTCTCCTTGTTCTCAAAATGAACCCTGACCAAGGCTGCATTAGTGAGCACAGCTTCGGGGCAGCCAGTCCCACCCCACACCCTCCAGTCCACATGCACAGAGTGAAAACACAACAGTGTAAGGGGTCAACGCGGGGAAGTGTGCAAGAGCACAAAGTCATGCAGCAGGCGTGCAGGAAAGACCACACAGAGCTCACACTTCCAGTAGCTACAGATGCAACCCTTTCTTTCTGTCCCTGTTTTCTGTTGCAGGACTGGGGATCGAACATGAGGCCTGGCATACGCTAGGGCAATGCTCTACCACCGAGCTACACTGCCAGCCCCACAACCTTGTCTTACATGGTGGAAATTGATTCTAGGAAGAGGGAAAAATAAAAGAAAAAAGAAAGCAGGAGCAGGGTAGATACAGGTAAAAGGGATGGAGCCCCTGCGACCACCTTCTGGCTGCTGAGCTGGTCTCCCCTGGGGTGGGTCCCAGCTGCTCCCCATCAGCTCTCTGGAGCTTTTCTTCGTGGGCTTAGGCAGCGACTCTGGGATTTTACTGCTCCTGCTACTACAGCCTGAGTCGGTCTCATCGTAGAAATGTTCAGATGTTGGAATATTTGTGTATAAATGGGGACGGATCCATGTCTAAACAGGAAACTCTGTTATGTTTCATATGTACCTTATACCCACAGCCTGAAGGTAATTTCATATGACCCGTTTTGTGCACCAGCATTTGAACTGTGACTCGTCACTCGAGGTCAGGTATGGAATTTTGTACTTGTGTCATCCTGTCGGTGCTCGAGAAGTTTTAGGTTTTAGAGCATTTCAAAATTCTGGTTTTTCAGATCTGGATGCTCAACTTGTATTACCGCTACTGTTACCAAGCGCCTGCCTTGAGCTGGGTGCTGTGTTACATTCCTTACCTCCCAGCACCAACACTACCTCAGGCCTGTCACTAATTCCATTCTCCGCATGAGGAAAGAGGCCCCAGAGGGGCTAAGTGACTTAGCCCAAATCACCAGGCTACTCAGATGGCAGCACTGAACTTGGGCTTTCTGAGTCCCCATCTGTGCTCTTCGATAGCAAAGTAAGAAATAAGATGGTATTTAATGGGCAGAACACAAACGTCTTAATACTAACATATACTACTAAATAGAGAGGGAGGAGGAGGGAGAAGAGAGGCATGAAAAAAGAATCGAGATGTGTTACTGCGTGTACCAGCTCCCCACGAGGAATGTAACTGTTATGTACTGCAAATATGTAACTAATAAAAATGAAACATGAAAAAACCCAAGAAATGTAACAGGTTATCTTTGGTGGTCTATGTCAAATCATTTCAATCACAGCTCTGTCCTTCGTGTAAGGGGAGTAAAGGCAGGAAAATCGAGGGGACCCCACAGGTCCAGCCTTTTGCCTGAAGGGACCTTAAAGGTGTCACATTCCCAGAGGTGTAAGCAGTGGAGCTCAAACTAGCACCAGGCTTCCTGATTCCACGACTTGATCCTGAAATCACTCAGAACTACATTCCTTCTTTCTCCTTCTTGACCTTGTGAGGAAAAAAAGAGTGAAAAAGCTTGAAGAAACATTTGGAAAAGATCAGGATGCTCAGAATAAAGTTCTCCTGGAAGGAGGCACAGAAGGTAATTTCAGAGGCTGGAGGAGATAGTCTGATCTACCAGGCAGTTAGCGCTGGAAGGCTTTTGTTCCTTGGGTAGAGGCCAACTCGCAAACAGCAAGCTTTGTGAAACCCACAGCCAAATTAGGACCCAGAAAGTAGGGATCTCCATCTCCCAAGTAAGAGCTCAGTGTTCGACAAAAGGTACTTGTTTTTATTTTTTTATTTTATTTTATTTGTTTTGGTACTGGGGATTGAACTCGGGACCATTGTGCTTTCAAGGCAGGTGGCAGAACCACTGAGCTAAATCCCCAGCCCTGGTACTTGTTTTTATACTGACATAGGAGGAACACAAAAGCAAAACAAGATGTCAGCTGGGGGCTCTGGGTCCAGTTCCAGGGCCCAGGAAATCCAGTTTCCTTGATTTTTGTGAATTGTCCCACGGCCTTTTCATTTTCTCGACTGACTAGAGTTTTAAGATACTGCTTGGACGTGTAAACTGAGCAGGATTTCCTAAAGAGATGGAAGGAGGCGTTCACATCCTCTTAGCAAACCAACTCAACTGGAACCCAAGGGATCACTACTTCCCCGGTCCCTCTCCCCTCCCTAATCCATTTCTCTCCTTTTCTCCTCCTCTTAGCTCTTTCTTATCACTTCTCCTCCTCCTTCCCTTCCAGAAGTAGAAACAACAAAGTGCAAATTCTCTTCCTGATCTCAAACACAGCAGGTCCCTTACTCTGGTCCCCTGGTACCTGCTAAGACCAGGCCTTCAAGACTTATTCTCTCCCTACCTGCTCAGCAACACCTTCCCCCACCAGATGGCTCCCTCTTTTCCTATGTGGAATTGTGGGGCCAGGTGTTAAGATTCCTCCTGCCTCAGCCTCCCAAGGGCTGGGATTATAGGTGTGCATCACCATGTTCAGCAAGATCTTTTTAAAAAATTGTGTGTGTGTCTTTACACAAGATTGAAAATCTTTGAAGTTTAAAGATACTACTGACTCTATCTATCTAGCTATCTAAATACTCTGTCTTATGTGGATCTTTATTATCATAACAGTAATGGGATTTCATGATATTTATAAAATCTTTGTAAGTCCTGGAAATTATAAAGCATTACCAATCAAATGTACGCTTTCATCCCATCTTCTGCTGGTCATTCACAGCACAAAGTGGTGAGATGAAGCCAGTTGTAACTAAGGTTGCAGCTAAAGCAGCCCCCGGGGACCTTGTCTAGAATTGAGAGCAGAAGAGACAATCAGCTGCCCTTTCAAACTCACACCTATTAAATAACAGTAACCATGCAAGCTCACAGCAACATGTGCAAATTTGAAAATGCTTCCTGAGAGCATTTCTCTTTGCAGCAGAACCTCCTATCTGCGCTCTCAGTAAGGACGGGGGAACGGAGAGGTGACCTCCCCACTTGATAGTCAGGACCCCGGGGAGCGGCGTTCTTTGTACTCGATTACTTCTGCTCTTTTTCTCTTCCAGGTCTTTCCATGTGACAAACCTTCAGCGTCTCCAGCTGTCACCAGTGCCCTCTTCCCAGGATAGGATCAAGTGTTCTAGCCTCAGACAATCTCCCAGGCAGGGCTCGGGGTCACGTCACTCATCTTGCCTTTAGCACGGGCTTCCCTGCCCCAAGTTACACCCGAAATGTTCCTCCATCCACCTGTCAAAACGTCGCGGGACCTTTCTCTAGAGCGAGCACCCAGGTGTCTCCACAGTTCCCACACTGGGCTCCAAGTTCTCCTCCCTGTTCTCCTCGGGACCCTGAAGTTGGCTCCTCGATGCCTCTTCCCACAGCCAGCACTTCTTCACTGTCACGGTCATCACCTAGGCTGCTTGTTTCCTCTGAGATCTGTGCCCTGTCTCAAGGACAAACTGCCACCCTATGGAGGGGACCTGAGCTACACACAGCCCTGTACCCCAGACAGCCAGGCCAGTCACAGGGAAACAGATCCTAGGTGTGCATCAAAGATAACAGCATATTTTGGGGGGAATTTATACTTCATGCTCTTTCTCAAAGGAATACACTGCTGTAAGCATATACACTGCTATAGTTAGTATAGACACAAAACCAAAAACAATACAAGTAGATACATATAATCACCTACTTTATTTACTAACTGCTAATTGCTTTCTCATTGTTTCATTTGCCTAGTTTTCCCATTCAGACTTAATACAATGTTTTCACTTTTTAACTTGTAACAAATACTTTAACTTAAGCAATGTCCACTAGCATTTGACAAATGGTTGATTGATGTCAAAGGCTCCTGAAGATAGCTTCTGGTTACTTTTGGGGGTTTTTTTTGTTTGTTTTTTTGGAGGGGGGGGTTATTGTTTTTTGTTTTTTGGGTTTTTTTTTTTTGTACCAGGGATCGAACTCAGGACCTTGGGCGTTCAAAGCTGGCGCCGGAACCACTGAGCTAAATCCTTGGCCCTTTTTTTTTGGTTTTTGAGACAGGGTTTTACCATGTAGTTTAAGCTGATCTTGAAATCACTATGCATGTAGCCAAGCTGGCCTCAAGCCTGCAGTATCCTCCTGCCTCAGCCTCCCCAATGCTTCTGCCCTAGGTTATGGGTTTCATGTTCTTTAAGAAGGAGGAATGCTTGATTGTGCTGAAGACCTATAAGCATACATCATCATCAATGCTGAGCCTTCATTTAATGGCCCTCAACTTCTGTTTTTGCATGGACTTCTACTCCTGGCCAGTGGAGTGCAAACGAAGCAGGAGTGCTTCATAATGGCCTGTATGATAAGCCTCAAAAAGTTATTTTTTGCAATTAATGGTTTCACTGACAATTTTACTGCTTGGCTCGAAGCTACCTCATTCCCTGGAGCCTCTGTACATGAGTCTATAATAAGCCTCCTTAGTCCCACAAAATTGGCCTCAGAATATAGACTGCTCTATTTTAAAACATTCATCTCCAGCTCTCTTACTTTCTCAATCTTTACTTTTGGACTATAACATTTGAAAATACATTTAAGCGGAGAGTAATAAGGCTTTAAGGCAGAGCTATAAAAGTGATTCATTCATGAGCATCTTACGCCTCCCCCAGCTGACATGCATTTTCCATTCATTTTCCTTGAGCACAATACATCCCTCAGCCTTCCGCTAACTGTTCACCTCTGTACAGGAACTTTTCCCCCTATCTGTATTCTCTTCCACTCTGCTCCAGAGTCTCGTGATGAGCTAGAAGGGACCCGCTGGGGCTCAGAGCCCCAGTTTGGGAAGTTGTGCTATGAATTGATGATGCTCCCTTGTCACAATTACTGACTTTAAAAGGCAGTCATTTTGCTGTTTTTTACTTAGAGAAAGAAGAGTTCTTGATGTATTGTTCTGCATTCACTTCACTGAGCTTTTCTAATCTCACTCTGCTGGCGGCTGCAGCTCTGGAAAGCTCGCCTTCCTCCGGGTCGGGGGACCTTTCCTCTGGGAGCAATTTCTGGTGTCCTCCAGTCCAGTCCCAAAGGATGCAGCAGAAGAAAGAACCAGCGATGAAGATACCCACTCAGTATCGCACAGTTTTCAAAGCAGTTTCATGCCCATCAGCTCACTCAGTTTCTTTCTTCTTTCTTTCTTTTTTTTTTTTTTTGGTACCAGGGATCGAAACCACTGAGCTAAATCCCCAGCCTCACCTAGTTTCTTAAAAACAAAGATGAGAAACCAGACTGAGGAAGATCCAATAAATGGTGTCTTCAGGGCCTCACAGTTGTCTGCGGGTCAGTGTCAGAGAACAGGCTTTAAATAACCACGCGATGATTCTGATTTCAAAAACAAATTCAATTTTCCAAATAGGATTAGCAATGCTGCAATTTTCATAAACGGTTATGGTGATGAATCTTTTATAAGCATACTTACCAGGGACTGAGCTTTTCTTAGTCTCACTCGGTCCTGTGGCTTACTTTTCTTATCGTGTGACTGTCGACTGAAATCTGGGGTCATTTCATTTCTTTTTCTTCTTCTGTAAATTGGAAGGAAGGGGGCAAATTATAAATTATCATTTTATAACTTTGGCGGTGTACGTAGCTATTTGTTCGTTTGACTTCTTTGCCCCGTGACTTAAAAGGCTGTCTGCATTCACCTGGAAATAAGCCAAACGTCTATCAACAGAGAACTGGTTGAATGAGCTGTAGCCCAGCATACAATGGAATACTATGAATAGTAGAAAGAAAGGCAGAATATTTCTATAGATGACTGCAGAGCAAGCCCCAGGATATAATGTTACAGGAAAAATGCAGATAAAGAAAACTGAATGCATTATTACATGCTACTCATTTCAGAAAGGAGGAACTTCCAAAAAGTACATATATATGCATAGGTGTGTGTGTGTGTGTGTGTGTGTGTGTATTTGCTTGTACTTTAATTTTTTTTTTTTTTGTACCAGAGATTGAACTCAGGACCTTGCACTTGTGAGGCAGGCACAGTGCCACTGAGCTAAATCCCCGGCCCCTCTACTTAAATTTTAAAAATTACTATTATTATTATTACTATTATTTGTGGTCCTGAAGACTGAACCCAGGTAACACTGAGCCACACCCCTAATCATTTTTATTTTTTAAATTTGAGATTGGGGCTCACTAAATTGCCCAAGCTGGCCTCCAACTTGTGGTCTTCCTGCCTCAGCCTCCTAAATATCTGAGATTTTAGGCTTGTACCACAATAACCTTAGGCAAACAATATAATAGGCAAATAATCTACCACTGGGCTACACTGTCTACTCTGCTTTAAAAATACTTATTTTGAGATAGAGTCTTGCTATGCAGCTCAGGCTTGGCCTCAAATTTGCAATCTTTCCACCTTGGCCTCCCAAGTAGCTAGCACTCCTGGGATTATGGTGTGCACTTCCTGGTGCCAGGTTGGCCTGCTCTTTTTAAAAGTCTACCCCATCCTCTCAGTTTCCTTGGTCACAAGTGTTTGAGTCTCAAAGATAACTCAGGAGAAAGCTAGGTGTGGTGGCACATGACTGTAATCCCAGTACTTGGGAGGCTGAGGCAGGAGGATTGCTTTGAGTTTGAGGCCAGCCTGGGCTACATAGTGAGTTTGAGGCCAGTCTGAACCACAAAGCAAGACCCTGTCTCAAAACAACAACAACACCTAGGAGATCATCAGTTTATCTTAACAAATGTAAGTATCTAAGTGTGCTTCTTTCTCGATTACCCACTCACTTTTAGAAAAAGAAAGCACAAATGCTATGAAAAAGGGAACAGCTCCAATGAACCATATGATGCTGGCTTGGAATTCAATATTAAAACATCAAAAAAGCCTACCATGTTAAGTAATTGCAGCTATAAAGTTCAGATAAATCATGATTCATAGGGCAAATTTGCTAAGAATGGTTCGTTTACTTTTTCAACGACTTCTTGCTTCTTTGTATTGAAAAACCTTTGCGTCTCAAAGCAGGTTTTATTTTCACCTTGTCATCTACTGAAATGTCCCTAAATTGTTCTGAACGACAAAGAAGTTGAGAAGGACACGGAGCTTCTTACCCTTGGGAGCTGGGCTGGAAGGGATCACAGTTGTCCAGATAATTAAAACGAATGATATCCGTTGGATGCTTGTCAGAGGATCGCCAGGGAGGAGGCTCCTTCTCCCCTGGGTTATTCTTTTTCCTTGTGGAGGAGGACCAAAAAGGGGACTGCTTATCCCCTGGAGAGCTGCTTGCAACTGGCTGAACATTGGCGATGACAAAGCTGTCTTTTGGAGGTGTCTAGGGGAAGAAAATGTATTATTTCTGTTCCCAGAGCACTATGCTAATAATGGCAACAATAAAACAAACAATACTGTCAGCTGCATCGCCATCCCATCGCCATGGCAACGAGAATGGTGATGATTATGGCAGCTGGTGCCCCAGAGAACTTTCCAGGTGCCAGGGAGTCTTGAGCAGGTTTCATGTGTTCTATTATTTAACCTTCACAGTACCTTTATAGTTCATCACTATTACTCCTATTTTACAGGAGAGGAAACTGAAGACAAGCAGAACAAATGAATGTGCCCACTACAACCTAAGTAGAATGTGAATTTGAATCCAGGACTCCCTTGCTTTGAAACCACATTCCAAACCTTCTCCTATATGCCAGCTTCTCTACCATATCCTTGTCTACTTTGTCATTTTATTCATAAAGTGCAGTCATTTTACTCACGCAAAGATGTAATTCCAAAAAATTAGGTCCTCCAGCCCTAAAGATCTCTAATATAAAATTTGAGCTGAACAGGAATAGGCTATAGATCTCATCAGTTACTCAACTCAACTACTCCCATGGGACACTTCTGGTTAATTTCTAAAATTGAAAGTCTGTCTTTCATGTATAAAATTCATAAGGGTTGCATGTGGTTGTAGCCTAAGGGAAATGGTACTGGTATGTTGGGATGCCATTAAGAGCTTAATTTTTGTTCATTAAGAGATTAGGGAAGTTTTACTTGGTAAATGGGTTTGTTTCAATTGTGTGTGAGAATCCAAAAATTTCCCAGTTAGGGTCTGGATGTCGCCCATGCTTAGCACGTGCCAGGCCCTAGGTCCCATCGGAAGAAAGAAAGAGAGAGAGAGAGAGAGAGAGAGAGAGAGAGAGAGGAAGACAGACAGAAGGAGAGAGAGAGAGAAAAAAAAGAAGGGAAAGGATGGGAGGGGAGAAAGAAAGAAAGAGAGAGAGGGAGAGAGAGAGAGAAGAGGCAAAAAGAGGGAGGGGAAGGGAGAAAGAAAGATGAGAGAGAGACAAAGCAAGGAAGATCAGAAAAGAAAGAGATTCCTCAGTCTTGTTTCAACTGCTCTCTGTACACATTTCTATTATGAAATCCTACTCAGCACTCAGGGTTGTGATTCCAGTTTTGTTTACCTGTGACTGTTCTGGGCCACCAGACTAGGCTCTGGGAAAACAGGTTAGGATCTCTGTACACTTAGCTTCTTGCACACAACAATGTATAACAAATATTTACTCACTTAATGATTAATGATAGCCTACTAGCATTTCTTTTTTTTGGTAAAGGGGATTGAACTAGGGACCTTGGGCTTGCAAGGCAGGCGGTAGAACCACTGAGCTAAATCCCCAGCCTCAAGAAGACATTTTATACTAATATAATTCAGCATTTCAGGCAGGCATCATGTAGAATGGACAGTCATCTCATTTCTGTAAGGTTATTCTTGCTAGAAGAGGTCTAGTTTAATACTACTAACAATAAATAATGCATAGTAATATAAAAAGTATTTCAGAGGAAAATATTCAGATATAAATGACAGCAACTATATATAAAAATGATTAATCCTTGGTGAATGTGGTGGCACACACTGTAATCCCAGCTACTTGGGAGGCTGAGGCAGGAGGATCACAGGTTTGAGGCCAGCTTGGGCAATTTAGTAAGACTCTGTCTCAAAATAAAAAATAAAAAGAGCTGGGGATGTAGCTCAGTGATAGAATGCCCTTGAGTTCAATCCCCAGGGCTGAAAAAAAATCTGAAAAGTACATAATAGGTAATAATGAAGTCTGTGACAATTTTTTATGTGAAGTAAACCAAATTTTTGTTTACATCACTTGGAGTCTGTTTGTTTTTGGCACTGGGCATCTAACCCAGGGGCTCTAGCATCTAGGCAAGCACTTGCTGTACCACGGAGCTACATCCTCAGCCTGAAGTCTTCCTGAGAATTTATTTTCATCAGGAATGGCTGCTGAATTCCGTTTAATGACTTTGTTTGCATATATATATATATATATATATATATATATATAAAAATAAATGGTTGTATGATTTATTCATGCTTTTGGATTCTCATATGAGAGAAACCATGTGATTCATAACCTTGTGTGTCTGATTTATTTCTCTTAACATTATGGCCTCAAGGTGCATCCATTTCTCCACTAATGACTACTGGGGTGGGGGGGCTTGAAGTCACTACGTAACCCAGGTTGGCCTGGAACTCACAGTGGTCTCCTGACTCAGACTGCCCAGTTCTGGGATTGCAGGTGTGCACCACCTCACCAGCTAACTGATTCATCTTTCGCAAATGGGAAGAGATCCAAGAGGTGGCAGGAGGTGGTGGGGAGGGGAAGGGAAGGGGGCATGAAGAGAATTGAGATGTGCGGTGTACATGCACCAACCTCCCACCAGGACTGTCATCATGATGTACTGCACACATGGACCAATAACCTGCGAATGATAGTGGTTGATTGTTTTCCTATGAGGCCAATGTGATTTATTCATGGGTACATCCCACTTGGCCCTGGTGAGGTTCTTGTATTCTTTGATTTAATTTGTTTGTTAATACCTTGAAGGGCATCCCTGTTGGGCTCAAGTTGTCTCTGTGTTCCAGAGGGATACTGATCTGTGGTTTTGTTTTCTTGTAGTCTCTTTCTGGTTTTGGTATAAGAGTAATGAGTTGGGAAGTGTTCCTTCTTCCCCTATTTTCTAAGAGTTCATGTAGAATTGGTATTATTTCTTCTGTAAATATGTGAGAGAATAAATAAATAAATAAATAAATAGGTTCTGGGATGACGGCTCAGTGGTATAGCGGTTGCCTAGCAGGTGTGAGACACTGGGTTCCATCCTTAGCATCTCAAGAGATAAATAAAAGTTCAAAACAAGCTGGGTGTAGTGGTTCATGCCTGTAATCTCAGCACTCTTGAGGCTGAGGCAAAAGGATTGCCACGAGTTTGAGGCCAGCCTGGGCTACGTAGTTCAGGGCCTGGGCTACTTGACTTCAAGGCCTGGGAGACCCTGTCAAGACAAATGAACAAGCAAACCAAACTCCACCTTGTAGGATCACAGAAAATTTGAATTAGTAAAGTAAAATATTATGGCTACAGGTAACAAACACTGCACGTTACCCAGAGTTCCTGGGTCAGAAGTGTATCTAAGCTAGAGGTACAGATATCTGGGACCAGGAGAGAGGGAGGTCACCATAGTGCTGCCCTCTTGGATGCAGCTGTGGGCTTGGGGTGGCAGCCAAGGGCTCTCAACTAATGTAGGCATCCTTAAAAGGGCTTTGGTGTCTCAGAAAAGGGGCATTTTGGAATCATAGTGGAAGGAAATATCCTTGGAGCTACCTTCTTTCCTCAGCTTCAGGTTTGATCATTTGTTCTTTTTTTTGGTACCAGGGATCGAACTCAGGTCCTTGCAGTTGGGAGGCAGGTGGTGGAACCACTGAGCTAGATCCCCGGCCTTGATCATTTGTTCTTAGTTCTAGAATTTATTACAGCTGATGTTTGTATGTTTGCTGCTCTTTCTCTCTAGTGTACCTTGGGCTTGGTGACATGAAGCTTTTTCACCATTTGAATATAGTGCTTCTTCCATATCCCCTGCTCAAAGGGGCTTGGGGAGAAAGTGATGCACCAGTTAAACCGTAAGCATTTCAACATCCACAGCTGGTCCAGTTCCGCTAAGTTCTTCCAGTGCCAGCTCACCTGGAACAACAATGACAATTAAAAACACAAACACTCTACTCGGTTCACATGTCCACTTTCTCTAGGTTCTGAGCTGTCATTCTGGACCTGACACACTTTTTTCCTCCAAATCACAGCTTAGTTACCTCCTACCTGGAGTGGGGTTCCTTTAAATGCTAATTCAGACTTAGACACAGTCTACTAATATTACTGGGTACATTTTAACCATCCTCATCCCAATCTAGGAAGATGAGCATAATTATTACTCTCATATTGCAAATGAGGGCACTTAGGCTCAAATAGACTTTCCAACTCCCTAAGGATTCCTGAAAGTCATATGAAAGTTACAGGAAGGTTTCTTAAACTTAGGTCTGCATATTGCTATTCTTTTCATGGTATGCTTCCTTTTCCTTCCATTCTTCTGTTTCTCTAAACACAAATTTTATAAATGGAACACAACTACCAGTACTATTTAGCATGTATTATAAAGCCTTTAGGATTCCATCTCCTTAGCATTATGGCTGATCCCATACATCCAGAAAATGGGGGAGGTGGCCCCAATGGCAAAGTGTAGCAGTATTTACAATAATTATCCCAAGCTTTCAATAAGCCTTGCTAAGAACTAAGGTCAGGTTCATATATAAAGTTGAGACCAACAGTTCTGTAGCTACATTGTAAGAGTTGCAAAGGTGGCATCTAACTCTCAAACCCAAATTTCACCCTTGAAGACTGATCTCTTTTCAACATTAATAATTAATATCTGTTAAGTGCCCCTCAAAAACTGGACTATTTTCTCTAATGGCCCTTGTTATCCACAGATCTAAGTGTGTGTGGGGGTGTGGGGGTGTGCGTGCATGCATGTATGTGTATGTGTGTTTTACTGGGAGTTCAGCCCAAGGCCTTTGCACTGAGCTACATCCTCAACCTCTTTTTCAATGGTTTATTTTGAGACAGGGTCTCACTAAGTAGCTAAGTCACCCAGGCTGGGCTCAAACTTTCGATCCTCCTGCCTCAGCCGCACAGAGTGGTAGGATTACAAGTGTGCACCACCATGCCCAGATCCATACACCCATTTTTCTATTCTCTTTTTCCCTCCTTCCATCCTTTTTTTTTTGGTACTGGGGATCGAACTCCAGTCCTTGTGCTTGCAGGGCAGGTGGCAGAATCACTGAGCTAAATCCCCGGTCCTCCATCCATTTATTTAATTTCAACTATGTTTAGTACTGTGTTATGTGCTGAAGACAGAATATTAGGGAAAGAGTAGCACGTGGTTAGAAGAAATAAAAGGTGCAGCAGCTGGAAGGAAGATAGACACAGTGCATACAGACGATGGAATTGCTGTTCCAAATAGCATTTCTCTCCAATGGCCACAATCCCATGGTGGAAAACCTGGGAAATCCTGAGAAGTTTTAAGAAAAGCAACACCTATAATCTTATCAGTCAGAGATGACCATTACTGACAAACCAGTAGAGTTCTTTTGTTTTCAGTTTTCCTTTTTTTTAAGGCATGTATGAAACAAAACTGGGAAACTGTATATACTATGAAACTTTGCTTTCTGCATTTAACTGGCCCAGGATCTCTGCTCTCCCATGGCATTTCTAATGGCTAATTATTATCTAATGGCTAATGGCTATTCATCACAGAGCTGTATGATTCCCCTAATATTGAACACTTACATCACTATGTTCTTTTACATTTTAATTTTATTTTAGAACAGGTAATATGTGTACAGTGATATAAAATTCAAAGAGACATAGGGACACAAGGTGAAATATCAGTTTCTGTCTTATCCCTGTCCTCCAGCCACTTATTTCCAGCTTTGGGTACAACTGCTGTTGCCTGATGCTTATATATAGGTCAGTCCAGGACTATTCTAGGCAAAGATGAACAAATACATGTCTATTCCATTTCTTCTCCAAATGATATAACCTTCCTATTCTACAGCTTTGCCTTTTTATTTTGTACCATATCTTGGTGATCATCGCAACTTATTTACCCTGTCCCCAACTGGTGGACTTCTCCATTGTTTCCTGCCTTTAGCTATAACAAAGAAGGCTGTGATATTTTTATACAGAAATAATTTTAACACAGCTTGAAGTATACCCATCTGACCATATACCCACCGAAAAGCGGGATGCCGGTGCCAAAAGGAATTCTTAGTGAAAAATTTAACACTACCAAGTTGCTACCCAGTTGGTCTCCATGGTGGTTGCACCAGTTTACTAACAATGTATGAAGGCTCTTGTTTCCCCAAGCACTTGCCAATGCAGAATATTATCATTAACAGAAAACCAACCTGAGTGATGAAAAATGACATGTCAGGAGGCCAAGCATCCCACGTATGGTACAGACATCTATATTTCTCTCTCGTTTTTTGGTGTGAACTCTTTGTTCATTTTCTTTGCTCATTTTTTGATGGGTTAAGTATTTTTCTCTCTTCTTAATATATATATTTACAGGAATTTTTTTTTTTGGTACTGGGGATCGAACTCGGGACCTTGCGCTTGCGAGGCAGGCACCGGAACCTCTGAGCTAAATCCCCGGCCCTACAGGAATTATTTTTAAAAGAAGGAAATAGCCATTTGTTAGCCATGTATTTTTTCCCTGCCTATTGGTTGGATTTATTTATGGTGTTCTTTTCCATGCAGAATATTTTTATTTTTATAGTTACAATTTAAACTCTTGCTGCTTTCATTCCTGCTCACAACATCGAAAATGAATACAGCAAGGCTGGAAATTGCACATTTTCTTTTAAGGCTTCTGGGTACCGTAGAATACTCATAAAAGCCTCCTGCCTTATGGGTTTTTTTTCCTGAGTGCTTGCTTTCCTTTGGTGTGATATCAATCTTCTTCTCTATTGGCATTTATTTTCTAGGCACCTGCCCAAGTGTCCCAACACTGTTTGTTTCTGATTGCATTTATTTTCTTAATCCTTTTTTTTTTTTTTGGTACTGGGGATCGAACTCAGGACCTTACACTTGTGAGGCAGGTGTCAGAACCACTGAGCTAAATCCCCGGCCCCTATTTTCTTAATCTTATGTGAATGTATAGTGGCAGGTAATTTCTAGTTTGACTAAACTCTACGAGAAGTCAGCTGGGTGTGGTGGTGCACATCTGTAATCCCAGGACTCTGGAAGGGTGAGGCAGGAGCACTGAAAGTTTGAGCCCAGACTGGGTAGTATACCAAGATCCTGTCTCAAAAATTAAAAGACAAAAAAAAAAACCAAGTGGAGAAGTAGCTCAGTTTGAAGGCTCTGAGATCAATCCCCAATACTGAAAAAAAAAGAAAAAAGAATGAAAAGAAAAAAACTCATCAAAAATGACTATCAGTTTAAATAATATAACTTTACTTTAATATAGTACAGAATTATTTTAAAGAAAATAATAGCCAGAGCCTTGTCCTCCACATCTGGGTCTCTTTTCTCTTATTCATATCTTCTGGGCACCTTATTTTGAGCTTTTTCTGTTCATGAGCAACCTGCAGTCTACAGTTTAGGGTTGTACTGCAGCTGTGTGCTATGCGTGCAGAACGTCCTGCTAACCATCGCTAACGGGCATCTGCATCTCCCCACTAATACTCTTCTGTGGACACTATTGGTGTCTTCTACTTTTCCTCCCTTTGAACACCAAATCCAGTGAGATACAATGCAGGTGGAAAATCATTCAGCCTCTCCAGACTCAACATCTACTGCCTGGTTTTACGAAAGTGCACGTGTGAGTTTCATTCTCAAGATACTGGAGTTACAGAGTTCCCTAAGGTTGTCCTCCCAAAACGCCACATGTCGCTTCTCCGTCCTTACCTGTGCACAGCGACAAAGGCTTCGGGGGTCCAGGAAGGAGAAGATGTACACAGATAATACCCTCGGGAGCTTGGTAGTAAAATCCAGGGCTTCTGCTGGGATTTTTTCCTGAAGCTTTCGACAGCAGAATTTCTGCTGGGACAACGAGCAGCGCTCCAACAGGCTGGCTAGGATTCTTCTCCTTTGGGAGTCTGTCCATTTGTCAAACTGGAAGGACAAAGCAAGACATAGGAGCTTCAGGTTTAGTCTGACAGCAGAGATTCATTATGGGGAAGACATGAGAGTAGCATGGTTTAATCCTTCCTTTCCTTCATTCTTTCTTGCTTTTGAGACAGGGTCTTGCCATGTAGTTCAGGCTGGCCTTGAATTTACTATGTTACCCAGGTTGGCCTCAATCTCTCTGTGATCTTCCTGCCTCAGCCTCCTGAGTGCTGGGATTACACACAGGTGCTCCCTCACCTGGCTTAGTCATTTATTTCTAATGCATAGCATACTTTCTGCTCCTATTCAGCACATTTTGTGTTTTGCTACCTACCTGTCCTTTTTCACATTTATATGTATAAGCATGTACATGACCTAAGTGTGCACACTGAAGTCCTTTTGGCTTCAGAACTTGAATTATATAAAATAATAAGTTGGGAGCTGGTCATATGCATAAACTGAAAGAAATACAAAATAAAAATACACTTCCAAGGAAAGGTACCTGGCAGCTCCTTTCCCTTCAAATAATTTCTCCTCTAGCTTTATTGGTGCTTAGAACAACAGGAGCAGAAACAAATCCTTGTGATCACAACTAGCGATAAGGTACAGCATGCGAACGGCCCCAGCAAGGGGTGTATTCTGGGCTCAATTCCCACCAATGCGGAATGACTGATAGGATTGCACAGGAAGTGTGGGTTGGGCAGGATCTGCATTGAGGAGCCCCAGAGGGGAGGAACTGACAGAGAAATGCAGGAAGGTCTCAGAACAGCTTGGGCCGCTCGCTGCACAGTTCTTCCCAGAAATGACCCAACCCAGTCCTTGGATCAGGGATTGTCCAAAGATGAGAACCTGGGCACTGGCGAAACCAAAAGCGAGGATCTGAAGGGAAGAAGCCCAGCCAGTCGAACATCCCATCTCACCAGAAGTCTTCACCTGTCTCTTCTTCCCCAGCCCATCATGGAAGGGAAGAGGGAGGTGCGGGCTGGTTGCATTTCTGAGTATCATATTTCACATAGAGAAATTTAGTACAGTTATTATGAGGAAATCAGAAATTTATAATGACTTTTCAATGTAATCATGAAATAAACTACCTAAAAAGGCACATAAAACAAACAAACAAAATCAAGCCTTTTTCTCTTCTTTCTTTCTTTTCTTTTTCTTTTTCTTTTTTTTGAGATAGTATCTTGCTATGTACTTCAGGCTGGTCTTAGCCTCCCAAGCACTGGGATTACAGGCACGCACTATCATGCCCTGCTCAGTTCAAGCCTTTTGACAAGTCAGCTTCATTAAAGTTGCACAATGTATTTTTATAATTAGTAGGAATATTTCTTGATTAAATCCTTTCACTATCATCAATCTATTCAATGACCAATGAATCTCACATTGGAGAGTATAATACAAGGAGGAACTCCCCCCCCAATAAAGTGAAAAAACAAAACCTTTCACTTCAAATACCACAGGAATAAAACTGATTCATGTGTGTACTCCCCGATTTCTGCACAGCTCATATCTCCAACTCCCACAAGGGCAGCTTCTTTCAGGATGGATTCTCAGAAGAGTAAGTAGAGAGATACCAGACCATCAAGGCTGAGGCAGAGGGAAGGACCAAGTCCTAGAATCTGAAAGGGGAAGTTTGAGGAGATAGAATCTGAGCTCTGAGACTTTGGCCTGAGGAGAATTATGGGGTTCTCAGCAGCCATGATTGCTTCCATAGGAGGTAGTGTAAGAGCCCTGGGGAAGGACGGAGATTTGAGCAGTATTGTTATGAGTTCTGAACTGGACTACTGTGATTTTTCTTTGAGAAGAAAAATGAATATTGGAATTCTTTTTTTAAAATTACTTTTGGGCAGTTCCATGTGACTCTGTAGGACTGAGCTATATGGAAACCACATGGTCACAAAGATTTTTTTTTTTTTCATGAGATAATTAGTATCACTGTAAGAAACCAGAGATAACTCAAAATGCCTAAAGAAGGGCATCAGCTAAACAAACTGTAATATAGCAACATGACAGGATAAAGTATGGCAGTATGGGGCTCTTGGGGATGAGTGATGGGGGCTTGAGACTTTAAAAATAAGTGGGAAATCACCATGAAAAGCAACACTGACGCTCAGAATGTGTGAGGCCCTGGGTTCGAGCTCCAGCACCACCACCCCTCTCCCCCCCAAAAAAAGAAAAAGAAAAAAGGACAACGTTGAAGAGCTTTTCAAAATGGCACCAGGGGCCCTTAATGGGACAGGAGTTAGACAGGTCTGAAGCTGCTGCCTGGGATGAGAGCTGCGGTCACCTCCACCCTTTGACTGCTGGACTCAGTGCCCCAAAACTCCCGTTGCATATCCAGAGGTGTATCAAGCCTTGTTTTATGGACATTCCCATTTGGTTTACTCATTCTTTATCTTCTATCATTGTAGAGCCTCTGTAAAGTAATCCTTGCACGACTTCTGTGAGTGCACAGATGTGTGTGTGTGCGAATTTGCTCTTATTAGGGCATAAGACATGGGCTGCAGATGTCACCTTGGGATGTGCCCATCCAGCCCTTGCATTTTTTGCACCTTCAATAAGAGTTTCTCTTCAAACAATTTTAATTACCTTGTAATGGCTTAAGAGATTTTTGTCTTACTGCATAAGCTCCCTGCCTTCTTCAGAACACTGACTTGGAGCTATCTGAACCTTTTTTTTCCTGAATTGCAGTTCAGGGGCCTATATAACATTATTTTACAGTCTCTGCATTTCAGGTTTACTGACAGGAGTGAATACTGGATATCTCATTCTCAATTGTCCATTATTTCTAATACTCACTAGAAGTATTTCACCCCAAATTTCCTCATTTATACTTTAAGAATAATTATATCTATACTGTAGGGCTACTGTGAGGATCAAATACTATTTATAATATATATGTGTGTGTGTAATATATATATTTCCTAGTGAGTCTACAATGACTCATTGTAGAAATAACAGCCATTATTATACAATGGCATAATGATGTTAAAAATAACATATATAGGGACTGGAGATTTAGCTCAGTGGAGCTGCATCTGCCCTGCAAGCACAAGGTCCTGAGTTCGATCCCCGGTACTGGAAAAAAAAATAAATAAAGATGTATGTGCATTAAATCAAGGTAAAAGAGGATAATGTGCCAAAATTAAAGTAAAATGCATCAAATTATCATATTAGAACAACTGAGATTAGCTCATCTACTCTCCTAGTTGCCCATTAAGAGAAGGAACTCAGATTACAGAAAGAGTGACTGAAAATGAATATAAAAGAACATTAGGATGATAAAATGTGTACTGAAGAGCTCTATAAAAGAAAACATTAAAACGCTTTTCTCCAGAGATTAAAGAGATAATTACATTGGCTTCTCATTTATTTCCTTGATTACAATGTCCACAGATAATTTATGCTTGGCTTTGATAGGTGTTCTTGCCTTAAGGGATTCACCTTTGTAATTGTGTTTGGTTAAACTAATAGAAAATGAATTTGCATTCCTTGAACTCTTACCAACTCAAGGTGGATAGATGACTCAGAAGAATGTTTAACAGTAGGGGAAATCCCTCTGGGATTTTTGAAGGCACTAGGAATAATCCAAAAAGTAAATAATCCATGACAGAGTTAACTGTACAGGAATTTGATAATCTCCTACATTTCTGACATCACGTCTGAAGTAAACAAAACAAAACAAAACACCTATCAGCACATAAAAGCCAGGGATCCTATGTGTGAGGCTGAGAAACACTTAGGACCTTTGTTATTCTATTCTAGTATGGGGTGTGGTACCTCCTTTCCCAGGTCCTTCCCAAAGGATGCTGTTTCATAGGGCTTGCCTGACTCACTAGAACTGGGAAGATGCTATTTTTAGAGTCACTGCTACAGGATCCTTACTGCAGTTCCAGGAAGTGAAGAAAGCTGCTAGAGCTGTCAGGTTCCACTCATCCCACTCAGGGTAGCAAGAACATGGGGTGTGGGAGTGGGGGTAAAGAGGGAGGCTTGATATTTTTTGTTCATTGGTTATACATCTTGGTTTGGCTGAATTTCTGAGTCTTATAATTAAAGATTCAATTTCACAATTGAAGTATGAATATGTTCTTGTTTTTAAAGTTTCACTCAGCTACAGCCCAGGTCTGTTCCTGTTTTTAAAGTTTCAAACAGATTTAGGAAATTCAAACCTAAAAATCCCAATCAGGCATCTCCACCAACTCTCACTTCATTTCCCAGAGATGATCACCTTTCAAAGTTTAATTTTAATGCCTTTCTATGTATTCATACATATATATGCCCATCAAATCAGAAGCAATTACATAAATTAGGGTATAAACATCCTATGGAATACCTTGTAGCATTTTAAGAAATAAAATACAGCCATAGATGTCCTGATATATGATGAACTCAAGACCATATTGTTTTCTCATTCATTCATTGTAGGATGGGTATGCCATGATCTATTTACTCAATTTAGTATTTTTGTTTATTATTTATTTTGTGGTGCTGGGAATTAAACCTAGGGTTTTGTCCATGCTAGGCAAGTGCCCTACCACTGAGCTACATCCTCCAGCCCTTTAAATCCTATATCTATCATGCAATTTGCAAAATGTTTTTCCCTGTTTCTCTTTTGAATTTTAACTCTGCATTGTGGTTTAGATCAAGAATGCCCCCTAAAATCTCATGTGTTCAGAGGTGGGACTTTTGAAAGATAAGTGAATCATGGGAGTGCTATACTCATCAGCAGATTCATCCATCGATGAGTTCATAGCTAAAAGTGTGGTTAGGAAGTGGGGCCTGATTAAAGAATGTAGGTACTGGCGGTGTGACCTAGAAGGGTGTATTATTGTTGCCAGAACCTCCTCTTGCTCTCTTTGCTTCCCCATTGCCATGAGTTGAGCATCTTTCCTCTGCCATGCCCTTCCATCATGCTATTTCTGCTTGAAGCCAGTCAAGACTGAACCCCCTGGTACCATGAGCCAAATAAACCTTTCCTCCTTTAAGTTTTAGGTGTCAGATATTTTGTCCCAGCAGTAGAAAAGCTAATACATTCTGATTATGGCTGTTACTGGCAAGTTGAAAATGATGATATTTTATTTAAAATGTTACTATTATTTCTGTTAACAATATAGCGGAAGCCAAAAGAAAGTTTGACAGACTTTCTTTTAAATCCAAATATTTTCCCTGTTGGTGTTTTATGCATGTTTGGGAGGTGATTGCCTTCTCTAACAGGACTTGAAGGGCACAGAAGATTTGAGAGGATAGGGATTAAGTAGTAGGATGGAACAGGAAAGTAGAAGATCTTTTCAGGGTTCTCGTAATGATTTTGTCAGATGCTACACACAACATCAGACAGAATCATGTGGATATATATGAACAAAGATGAAATTCTATGCCCTAATATTAAAATGCTTTTGGACTGCCCGTCATTGAGTAGGATGTTTTACCTCTCCATCCAGAGGTTCTTTTGTTTGTTTGTTTGGGTTTTTTTGGTACTGGGGATCAAACTCAGGACCTTGCACTTGCAAGGCAGGTGGCGGCACCACTAAGCTAAGTCCCTGGCCCTCCATCCAGAGTTTTACATTTTTTATTATTTTGTATTTTTTCAGTTTTTTGGAGATAGGATCTCACTATGTAGTTCAGGCTGGCCTTGAACTTACTACGTAGCCCAGATTGATCTCAAAGTTCTGGCATTTTTCCTGCCTCAGCCACCCAGGTGCTGGGGTTACAGGCATGTGCCGTGACCCTGGTAATCTAGATTTTTAAAAATGACTTTACTTCTAAATACTAGAACAAGGTTTAAAACAAAAACTTGTTTCTTACAATGAAACTCCCATTAAAACATTGGTATCTAGGGCCAGGAATTTATCTCAGTGGTTTTGTTGCCTGCTGCGTAAGCACAAGGACCCAAGTTCGATCCCTGGTATCAAAAAAAACACATTGGTATCTTTATTTTTCCTTTCTTTTGCATTAGGTTTTATGGGAGTCCCTAGACTTCCATATGATTTAGTACAATTAAGCAATACATTTGTTAGGCAAAAGACAAAAATAAATATTTATTCATGTAGAAAATGCTTTCTTGTAAGTATCAGGGGATATAATTGAAATACAATAAAAACTATCCTGCCCTCTATATTTTATTCTTTTTAAGAAAACAGATAATAATGATCTTTGCAAATATATTTTCTACTAGCTATGGTAAATGAATGAAAAGGATCTTTAAAAAAAAGCCTGAAGACCTTGAATTTTATCCAGAATGATACTAAAAATATTTAACAACTGGTGATGCCACCAATAGAAACTAGCCAGCCATGCTAATGAACATAGGCTGAACATTGGCCCCGATTATATTAATTCTGAATGACAGTGAAGAAATAGGTCATTCTAAATAAATCACTTTATGAATTGTTGGAAACAAGTGTAAAACTAATTTAAAAAACAAACAGAATGAGAAAAACAGCTAGCCTGTAAAAATTTGGAGTTTTAATTTCTTAATTTTAGTATAATTTTAGGCAAAATTTTGTTATTTTAAACAGAAAGCACATTCACATGACTTTAAAAACATTAGGAGTCAGGTGTTGTGACATACATGGGAGGCTAGCACTCTGGGAGACTGAAGCAGGAGGATGACAAGTTCAAGCACAGCATGAACAACTTAGTGACTTAGAGAGGCCTTGTATCAAAATTTGAAATAAAAAAGAGCTAGGGATGTAGCTCAGTGGGAAAGCCCTGGTTCAACCCCCAGTACCAAAAACATGGAGGGGGGTGTCGATGATGTATTAGTCAGCTCACCCATTAGTGAGACACAATACCTGACACCCAAAACTTAAAAGAGATGTTTAGTTTGGCTCAGGTTTCAGGGGATTCAGTCCATGGATGGCTGGCTCCCAGACAGGAACATCATGGCAGAAAGATCTGACAGAGCAAAGACGCTTGTTTCATGGAGGCCAGGAAGCAGAGCAGCCAAACAGCACCAGAGAGGAAGGGGCGAGGGACCAGACATAGATACAGAGCCACACCTCCATGACCATACAGACACACCCAGAAGTGTGCCCCACCCATCCTCAATTAGATACCAAAACCAATCAAGTTGACACTCTGCCTTAACTGCCACAAATGAAAAAAATCATGTCCATCCTGTTCCAGATACATCCTTCTAGTAATATTATGTATAGGACTTTAAAAACTTAGTGGTTAATAAATATTCTTAGTCTGGAGCTTGTAGAACAACAGAGGAAAGATGTGAACAACAAAGGCAAACCAGAACACTAGAACTAGTCCTTTAGGTCAGTCTTTAGCTAAGTGAGTTTCTGTAACTGATAGGAAAGAGCATCTGTCTTCTATTATAGTCCAGGGCAAAGATACTCTCTCAAGGAAGGCAGCTTTGACTGTAAGCTTTCAGGAGAAAATAATGCTGGGTGTGGTGGCATACATCTATAATCCCAGTACTGAAGGGGCTGAGGCAGGAGGATCACCATAAGTTTGAAGCTACATAGTGAGTTCAAGACCAGCTTGAACTACATACCAAGACCCTGTCTCAAAAAAACAAAAACAAAAACAAAACATAAAAAAGAAGGAATACTTTAAGATATACATACTTTAAGATAACATATGTTAAGTTGAAGAAACCCATGTGAAATTTAGTTTTGTTTTACAGAACCTTGGTATATTCTTTTAAAATATATATATATATATATACACACACATCATGTGCCATAAAATTCAGTATTTTGAAGTGCAGAATTGGCTGGGTTCTAGTATATTCAGCAGGTCATGCAGCCATCACCACTATTTAATCTCAGAACATTTCACTCCCAGAAGAGAAACCCATGGCCATTTCAGTCACTTCCCATTTCCCTCTTCCGATATTGCCTGAAAACCACTAATCTGTTTTCTTGTCTCTGTAGATTTGCTGATTCCGGACATTTCATATAAATGGAATCGCGTAATATGTGGTCTTTCTGTCTGGCTTCTTTCACTTAGCATAATATTTTCAAGGTTTATCAACATTGTATCATGTATCAGTATCTCATTCCTTTTTTTAAACTTTATTTTTATTTTGGTAAAATACACCTAAAATTTACCATTATAACTATTTTTAAATATATAGTCCAGTGGCATGAGGTACAGTCTCACCATTGTACAACCATTACCATCATTCATCACTAGAACTTTTCAATCATCCCAACTGAATCTCTGTGTCCATTGAACAATAAGCACCCTACCCCCTGCCCAGTTCTAGGTAACTTCTATTCTGCTTTCTATCACTATGAATTTGGCTATTCCAGGTACCTTATGCGAGTGAGATTATACAATATTTACCCCCCTGTGACTGGTTTATTTCACTTAGCAGTGTCTTAAAATTTCATCCATGTTGAAACATGTGTCAGAATGCCCTTCCTCTTTATGGCTCAGTAATATTCCATCGTGTGGATATACCACATTTTATTTATTCACTCATCCATTGATTATTCACACTTTTTGACTATTTGGAATATTGTTGCTATCATGTTTTTTGTGGCAATTCTCTTGGGTCATAGAAAATATTTAAGTAGGACTGTAGAGGAATTTGATGATTAGCAAATATTAATCAGATGTGGATAGTTTGACTACCAGTCAGGGATGGGCAGTGACCATGTGTCTTTCCATGTGAGGATCAGATGAGAAAATCCTCTCTTCTGATGAAGGATATTTGTATCATGTTCAGCAGAACCGCAAAGCTGCCGGGGATTTAGCTCAGTGGTTCTGCTGCCTGCCTCGAAAGTGCAAGGACCTAAGTTCGATCCCTGGTACCAAAAAAAGAGACCCACAAAGCTGTTACAGTTCTGCTGTGGATGTAAGTGTACATGGAAGGGAGACCAGGGATGCTGAGTAGCCAAGGGGTGGACTGTGCTGGCAACTACAGTAACCACGCTCAGATCCAAACCCCTTGTCTGTACTTGTGAGTGTAAGGGGTTGGAGCACCACAAACACTTCTGGCTCCCTGCTAAATGCTGCTGGTGGGGAGGCAGCCCTAGGAGGGAAACTGAGGAAGAGGAGATGTGCTCACCCTGATGACTCCATGGCCCAGCTTTTTCCAAAGACCCAGGACTGTCATACTTCCTCAAATACACCAGCATGAGCTGACTGTGATGTCACCTATTTCATTCCTCACAAGTCCAGGTCCCCTCAGGGTCCTGCAGTCCTCACTCTGAGCTCCTGAGGTACTGGTAAAGCTGGTCGCTCCCTCAGTTCTATCTCCATGGAACTCCAGTGTTCCCTTCTTCTGTTTTCTGTTTTCCAGTATCTAGCCAGTCCCTTTCATTACATTCTGTCTGTTCAAATAATGCATGATTTCCACTTTCCAGACTGAACCCTAACTGTGCATACAGAAAGCACCAGTCATGCACAGCCTTAGGTCCAGCCTGAAATCATGGGGCAGTTCTGCGATAAAGCCACAGGCTCAATGCTTGTATGCTCCACCTGTTCCACATTCGTACACAGAAATCCTCACCTCCAGTGTGATGGTATTAGAAGGTGGGAGCTTTGAGGAAGTGATTAGGTTATGAGGCCGGAGCCCTTATGAATGGGATCAGTGCCCTGAGAAAAGAGACCCCAGTGAACTCTCTCCCCTTTTCTGCCATATCAAGCTGCCCATGAATAGGACACTGAATCTGCCAGGAAACTCCATCCCAGACTTCTCAGCCCCCAGAACTGTGAGAGATAAATGTCAGTTGCTGGGCTGGGGATTTACCTCGGTGGTTCCGCTGCCTGCCTCGAAAGTGCAAGGTCCTGAGTTCGATCCTGATACCTAAACTAAAAATGTCAGTTGCTTATAAGCCACTTGGTCTGTGGTTCTTATTATAACAGCCTGAACAGATTAAAACTGGTAATATAATGCAGACATAAGTATACGGTATTTTAAATGCTTACCCATTTTCCAAGCAGAGCTCTTCTTTCTTCAAATACCTGCAGCAAGTAAGAGAATGGGTGATTTCATATATTATGGTTCAAAATGTCCATTTACAAGAACAACATCATTGGGCTGGGGATTTAGCTCAGTGGTTCCACCAGGCTCAAGGACCAGAGTTCGATTCCCGGTACCAAAAAAAAAAAAAAAAGAACAACATCATTAAAAATTAGTAAATTCACTGTATCAACTAAGTAGGGCCACTTTTTTTTTTTTTTTTTTTTGTACTGGGGATCAAACTTGGGACCTTGTGCTTGGGAAGCAGGTGCCAGAACCACTGAGCTAAATCCCCGGCCCTGTATCAAGTAAGTACGAAGAAACAGGTTTCATTCCTGAGAGTACTTTACTTCTAAGGGCAAGTTCTTTAGTTTCTCTTTCTCTCCCACCCTTCCTCTGTCCCTCTCCAGTTTCTCCATGTGGAACACTATAATTCATAAGAAGTAATTATTATTAAAAGAAAAACGAACAAAAATGGAATTGTAAAGAGAAATCAATTTTAAAATTTGAAAGGAGATGAAAAACTAGCACGAAAAAAACAGCAAAATGGAGTTCCACTCTGAAATATTTCAATATTAATGCCATGAGAATTTATAAAATTTATGAACAAATGGTTCTATTGTTACACCTCAGTGTATATACATCTAAATGGGTGTCCAAGTGCTTATGTTGGTAGGATGAGTGATCTGTATATGTTTGCCACTGGGCTGGCGACTGAGGATTGATCTGTATGGGTTTATTCTAACAGACTATTTAGGACAGACACTACGTATCACTGATGGTGACATTTCCAGCCAGTGCTTTACATCACATGTTACAAGTACCCGTGTTTGTCAAATTTGATGGGGTTGTGGGCATGAATGCATCCTCTCGGATATAGAAGCAGAATGGGATGTGTTTATGTGCTGGCGAATAGGTGTTTCTCTGAGCATCAGTGCAAATGAGAAACGGAAAACAAATGTGGGTATATTTGGCAGCGGAGGGGCTCTGATGAAGAAAGTAAAGAACATATGCGACTGTCTCTCTTGCTCCAACACATACATCCTCTGTCAGCTTTCAAGTGGAGAGCGATGTTTTTTCCTTCCTCTTGGCACTGCCTAAACTCTGCCGTTCTGCAGGAACACTCCAGCTTGGAGAGGCGGCTCAGACCTATTTCTTTCCTTTTTGTGGAGGAGGATGAGGAGCTGGCTTTATGCTTCCAGCAGAGAATGCTTTCCTTTCTTTTTCAGGCTCAAAGTCTGGTTGCCAAGGACATACAAAACAGGAACTGAAAAACTGCTTTAAACACTGGCTCTGGACTGAAAGGTGTGCTTGTTCCTGTCCAGGGAGGCTCATTGGCCACAGGTAAGCACTTATTGCACATTAGAGAAGAAAAGGAGACCCTCTTCCCCCCATGCCACCTGGGGTACCAGGACCCTCAGATAATGGCAACAGATAGGCTCTCTAGATGAGAATAGAAGAGAATCCACAGAACACAGGAGAATCAAAAAACCTGGATTAGAATCCAAGGGGTGATCAAAAACTACACCGAATGTTTAAATTTGTTTTAAAAAAACTTATTACAGTAAAAGATACATTGTCATGAACAATGGGATAAGTGTATTTGAAGCAAGGAGAGTATTTTTGCTACTTTGAGGGGGATTAATGGAAATGTGTCTTTTACTGTAATCAACAGTTTTATTTAAACATTCACTATATTTTTTGCTCACCTCTCAATGACCAACCATTTATAGCAATTTCTGTCAAATAAAAAGATTACCTTGCATTCGCCTCCATTTTATACCCTGGATCTGGCACCATGCAACTTCTGGCTCTTGCCCAAAGTCAAAATGACCACTAAAGGGAAATGTTTGACTCAACTCAGGACAGAGGCAGACATGGCACTGCAACTTGGAGACATTCACAAAAGAGAACTTCTGGAGCATGTGGCAAGTGTGATGTGTTTGAGGTGAGAGGGAGGGTTTTTTTTTTTTGGTACCGAGGATCGAACTCGGGTCCTTGCGCTTGTGCAGCAGGTGGTGAAACCACTGAGCTAAATCCCCAGCCTGAGAGGGAGAGTTTTGAGGGGGATTCAAGGCAATGTGGATTTCACTAAATTTTTAAAAATTAAGAATTCATCTTATTTGTGAACACATTTTGTAATGCCTGAGCCCTTTTTCTTCGCCAGTCGCCTATTGCCCACCCATGCCACGGCTGCCATTGGCCATCGGATGCCCAGCAAACCCTCCCACTCCCACTCCACTCACAGTCATGCTCCACTGGGCTTTCCAGCACTCAGTTTTGCTCTCTTGTGGTCTCTGTTAATTTGATCTCCCCGTGTAAATGACAGCCCCTTCCTCCTACATGCTCCCCAGAACCAGCAACCTGACAGTTTCCCAGCAGGCCCTCCAAACCCTGCTGACTGAATAACAACCACAACAAAGCTCCAGAAGGGCCAGAACTTCAGAACGAAAAGAAATCCTAAAGATCTTTTTGTTCAATTCCCTTATTTTAAAGAGGTCAAGCAGAGGCCCAAAGAAGTTCTATTTATGGATTAAAAAAAAAAATCACTGGTTCCAAACTATCTGTTCAGCTCCGTTCTGCACTTGGTTCCTCACTTAAATCTTGGTCTTCTCCACTCTGACTTCCAGCCTTACTGTGTTCGTTTGTTTGCAGTGCTGGGGATCGAACCCAGGTCCTTACAAGTGCTAGGTAGGCCTTCTAACACTGAGCTATGCACCCGTTCCCAGCCTTACGTTCCTGATGAACTGTTGCCCATGCTTTGGCCTGGGACGGGGAAGAAGGTTATGTCCTGAGACCACGAGTGAGCTTTCAGAAGGAGGCTGGAACTGCACTACCCTGGCATCCATCAGTGGTGTGGTTCATCGGAAACAGAGGACACTGACTTGGAGGAAAAGGTAGTCTTCAAATGGGTAGCAGGAATGGAAGGGAAGGGAGCAGAAAGTGGGGGGCATCACGCAGGCTAAAGCAAAGACAACATCTAAGCAGGGGCCAAGCAAATCCAATCGTCTACCAGAAAGTGCCTATACCCAATTAGAGACTTCTGAAGGGACAGAGGAGGTTGGAAGTCAGGAGACCTCAGATCGGACTCTGACTCTACCCACGACAAGAAATAGAATTTGGGCAAATCACTTCACAGTCAGGTCCTCGGTTGGACTGTTGATCTTGTATTTCCTGGTTTGGAGTGAATTTCATTTCAATGATTTGTAATCACATTCTTTCTTTTAAAGAGCTGGAAAACAAAATGTCTACGCAAAATGGAAATATTAAAATGGATCTTCTTTTCTTGCAGAACGCTGCAGTTTGTTTATATCACAGTTTACCCACAGCCTGCTGTTAAGTCAAAATTCCATGGTTGTTATTTCAGTCTGTTGACACTGAACTTACATATTTCTCCCTGTGACATCATTATGGTGCAGGAGGGAGGGATTTGGGGGCTCCTAAATTATGACTTATTGACTACAACAAGGTGCTTTTGCTCAGAACACCCTTTTAACATGCACTGTACTAGATGTGGATTACACTCTAAAAGAAATGTGGCTCACTTGCTTTTTAAAAATTGTATATACTTAAAATGTACAACATGATATTTTGATATACATCTACACAGGGAAATGATTACCAGAGTCAAGTAAATTATCCTATCCATCACTTTCTGTAGTTACCCTTGTATGTGTGTGGGGGGGTCGCTTTTAATTACAACATTGGATGGCGAAGAGATTTATAATTTAAAAACCTTCTTCTTTTCAAAATTGTCAGTGCCTGAATTACTTTGTAATCTATTGCATTTGCCTAGGCAGATGATTTTTTTTATTTTAAAGCTTCTAAATTTGAATTCAATCTCTCTGCTTAAAGCCTGCTGTGAAGTGAAAATCCTGTGACTCTTATTTTAGTATGAGAGAGTTACATATTTAACATGCTATTGCACACTAGAAGACAGACACAATTCAAACACAAACAAAACAAGACCTCACAATTACACTGATTGCTAGTGACAATGCTCTGTTTGTGAGGTGAGGAAAACCCTTTAAAATGTCTCTGTGGAGGCTTTCTGGCTGCTGTGTCCTTGGGCATCTATTTTTAAGCCCTTTCATACATTTGAAAAGTTAGATGTGGAAGGGACCTTCAAGGTCATCTGATCCAAGCTACTTATTTTACAAAAAGAAGATCAAGCCCCTTATTCAATGCATGCAGAAAATTATTGGGACAGCTGATCTGAAACCAAGTTTTCAATTCCTAGAGCAATTGTGCTTTGTTTGCTTTTATTTGCATTTATTTTTAAACTTTTAAAATTTGAAATACAAGTATCCCATATAAAGTAAAAAACAAAAGAAAAAGCTCTCTCTTCTAACAGCTCCTTCTCCTCCAGCCACCAATGGACATCTAAATTCAGGAGTGGGCAGTAAAATAATTTGGTGTCATCACATACAAATTCTATGTGTGTGTCTGTGTACACTGATACACACGTGTGTATATACACAGGGAAAGATTTTTTAAAATAATTTTACTCCAAACTAGAACCTAACTAGACTTTTTGGGCTATGTGAGAGATCTGAACAATAAAATAAAATTTTCTCTAGAAATTATCACAAAGTGTGACAAAGTCCCTTACAGAGGGAAGATAAGACAATGTACCCATCTTCACGTTGTACTGATTGTCCTCCAGGACTGAAGGATTTATTCCTGCACCTGTTGGGAGGCTGCTGGGTGCAAGCTTGAGAGAGCTGCCTGGCCTGGGGGTGGGTCCTGGGTAGGGACAGCAGGCTGCACAGAGCGGGCAGTGTACTTGCTGGGTTGTAAGGTCCTGCCAGCTGCAGGGTTCCCGGGGTCAATGGAGACCTTGAGACTGCATCACAGCACCTTTTTCTCTTCTGTTCCTCCGCCCCCTCCTACCCTGGGGATGATCCCACATGCTGGTCTCAGAATCTGCTTGTTGGGGCTGGGGGTGCAGCTCAGTGCTACAGCACCTGCCTAGCATGCTCGGGGCCCTGGGTTTGATACCCAGCACCACTGAAGCCAAATGAAAGCAAACCAAAGGAAGGAATTTGCTTTTCTAGTCACCCAACTTACTTTTTTTTTTTTTTAGGGTACCAGGGATCGAACTCGGGTCCTTGCACTTGCACAACAGGTGGAGAAACCACTGAGCTAAATCCCCAGCCCCTAGTCACCCAACTTACAACAGGCACCCAGCTGTTTTTAGTTGTTAAGGCACCTCCTCCTCCACAGCAACTAACTGGATTAGGCCTCTTAATTTTTCTTAAAATTTCAAGGAAATATTCTGAAAATCAAGGCAACCAACAAATTTGAATTTCAATTCAAATCACTTTTTCACACATGAGTAAAACCTTCACAACTTTATGGGAAAACAGATTTCAAAACTAAACACTGAAGTCTGGGGGGGGGAGATCATCTGTTATGTAAACTGTCGGAGAGCTCAGCATTTCGAACAGGTGCTCAGGAAGTAATCACTGTGCTGAAGGAACAAGACTTCAATAGACTGGCATTCGCAGGTGTAGATGAAGGCGGACTCTCTCTCCTCTTTCCTCATTTCCTTATCTTTTTCTTACTCCAGTTCAGGTCAGAGTAGTAGAAAGAGAAAGTCCCGAGAGGAGATAAGTTTGACGGCTCAGCTTTACCAGGGGGATCAGCACATCTGTTGGGGTTAGAGAGGCGAAGGTCCATCTCAGTGCTAAGGCAGGAGATGGAGCAGGCCAGTGACAGTCAGTGAAGGCCAACCAGGAAGACGGGACTCTGGCTCCACCTCTTGTGCTCCAAGAGCCAGATCAGGCCCTGGAGAGAAAAGAGAGAGCAAGGATCTCCGACTTAAAGGTTTTTTTGAGACAGAGTCTCGCTCTGTCATTCAGGCTGGCCTTGGACTGACTATGTACCCAGGTTGGTCTCAAACTCGTGGTGATCCTCCTGCCTCAGCCTCCCAAGTGCTGGGATTATAGGCGTGTGCCATCATGCCAGGCTCAGTTTAAAGCATTTTGAGGGGAGTGGGAAAGCTGCAAACAGGAGAGCCAAGACCAGGAGGCAGGAAGCCAGGGAGGCAGCACAGAGGAGAGATGCTGGCGTTGACTCTCAGGGGCGTGGCCCAGCAGGGTTCAGAGGACTCTGAGAGTGGCCTGGCCCTGGGCCTGGGGGCGGTGGCACAGGTGGGAGCAGGAGGCTGGCTGAGGTCAGACATGAAGGGGTCTCAGAAATGCAGGTGGGGATTGGGGATTTACCCTTGGGAGTGGGACAAAACGGGACTGGCTTTTTTAGAAAATCATCCTGGGCCCCAGGGAGCCAGGGACAAGGCCGTGAAGCCAGGTAGGGCTACTGCAGGGTGTGTGGCAGGGCGGCAGGGGTCTGAGGCGAGAATGTGGAGCTGGCGGGATGCGTGGGGTGGAAAGGGAAAGCCTCCCTCTCGGCAAGCGCAGCCAGTGTGCTCACTGCCACTGGACAAGCACCGGGGTCCCTGGCTCCCCCGCCCAGCTGCCGTGCAAACCCACGGTGTGGGTTTCATCCGGGTCCGGAGTCGAGCTGTGGGACAGGCTGACCAGGAAAGCATCACGTAAGCATCACGCTCATCCCCGCTGCTGTGCTTGGAATAAAGTTTTTTGCCTCTGACCCAGGAGTCTACGTCTTTTACTGTGAAACTGTAGTGTTGTCAATTCCATAAATAAAGGCTAGAATATTAGCTTGCAAACTGGGGCTGGGGAGATCAAACCCAAGACCCAGCTAGGAGAAGGAAGATTTCCTGCCTGGGTAACTTGGTGTAAAGTGGTGCTGTTTTTCTCCAAGAGGAGGAATTGGTATGTGGGAGCAAGATAACAAGGTCGGTTTTAAACACGTTGATTGTATTTTACTGCCAACTAGGTATGGTCCTGATGGACAGAAATTGCTAACAGGAGCTCGAAGACCTGGAGGTAAATTCTGGCCCTTACTAGAGCCAGAATAGAAATCCTCAGAGTTTGGCCAACCTCACACCCCAGCAATCCACAGCCCTCCTTTGTTTGGTGAATTCTACTAATCCCTCCCCAGAAGCCAGCCAGGGAATAAACTTTGCAGGAGAACCGGGTACTCACTCCGAGAACTGTGAGTACTTGGAAATGTACTCATTTTCTGTACTTGATACATTTCCTGTGCAGCCTTACCCAATGACCTTGACTCTCGCCAGAAAACCTGTTTTTTGGAAACTCCTTGCAGACCCCTTCTCCAGTCCCAGTGGCCCAGAGAAGAACCAGTAATGGGAGAAAGAGGTGACTAGGATGGGAGAGCAGAGGAGTAACCAAGCAGGAAAGGACAAATCGAAGGCAATTTCTCCTCAGGCAGGGACTCTGTGTTTATTGGTGGCCTCGCACACACAGCAGACATTCAATGAAAGCTTTTTTCAATAAATGCTCTGTTTTGTCATTTCTTCATCCATCAGCACAACCCTAAACAATTCCTGTTCTAATGTTGTTAAGCAAAATTTTACTACAATTTATTTTTCTTTAAGGCATGACCACTTACCCGGTCATTCAAAAGCTGATGGTTTAGTGGTGTCCAGGTGCTCATCTTCGTCTGCATCTTGGGGCCCTCTATGCTTTTCGGAGGGGCAAATGCCATCATGAAATAATGGAGTGCTCTCCCCCAAGAAGGACTACCCCTATAAGAAGAAATAATCAAGCTATCTTCAGAATGCTAAAAATACTGTGTAATTTTCTGGAGTGTTGGGAGGGAATGGATGGGAAGAACACTTTTTGGGAGCATCTTATCTGTTGAGCCCTTTGCATGTGCTTAATCCAGTTTCAGAAGGTAGTGCACTGGAGGATTTGAGCTCATTTCTTTCTTTCTTCTTTTTTGGTACCAGAGATTGAACTCAGGACCTTGAACTTTCAAGGCAGGCGGTGGCACCACTGAGCTAAAATCTCTGATCCCCTTAGCTAATTTCACAGGTGGAGAAAACACGACTCATTGAAGTTATGCATCCTGCCCTTTAAAGCCATACAGAGAGTAAGCGGTGGAGCTGGGACTCAGCCCAAGGTCCGGCTAACTCTGCTTTCATTCAATCATGCGGAAGAGATCCCGAATTGCTCCTAGCTAAGAACAGACCTAACTGGCCAGAGAGAAAAGTATTTTAAACTAAGAATCATAATGCCATATAAAACACTTCATTCCTCTCCATGTGATACTAACTCTCCTCCTCCCTCTTCACTTTCTGACATCTGAGTAATAAGAGTTCCAGCCTGGGGCCGGGGATTTAGCTCAGTGGTTCCGCTGCCTGCCTTGCAAGCACAAAGACCAGAGTTCGATCCCCAGTACCCAAAAAATCCCAAACAAACAAAGAGTTCCAGCATGACGCCTATTTAAGAGGCAGAATAGTATAATGGACAAAACCAAGGCTTTAGACATGGACAGCCTTGAGTTTACTGGGGGAGACTTTCTGGGTTTAGTTGTGTCCTGTACAGTCGGCCTCCTTCAAATTAATTTTAATTTCCATGGGGAATTATTTTCCCTAATGGTGTAGAGTTTGTAGAGTTTGCTGGGTTAGCTAACTGAGGGTTAGGGGTGTCCAAGGGTTCATCTTCATCTGTATGTTGGGACCATCTATAGTCCCCCCTCTGCCACAAGGTGGTGATAAAGCCAAGTGTGGTGTGATCCCAGCTACTCAGGAGGCTGAGGCAGGAGGACTGCAAAGCAGAAGTCATCCTGGGCAACTTAGCAAGACCTTTCTCAAAATAAAATAAGAAGGGCCAGGGACATAGCTCAGTAGTAGAGCCCTTGCCTAGCATGCACAAGGCCCTGGGTTTGATCCTACTATTGGACTGAAGAAAACTTTAAAAGAGGCCACAGTGCTGCTGGGCCACGGCTTATCCTCATTTCACAGTTGGGGTGGCCATCCAAGGGTCCAAGGTAGTGTTTGTACCCTGAGCAGACTGCTCCGTTGTCCCTGCTACTTCACACCCCAAAACCTCATGTCCTTTTGTCCCATTTTGTGAGCCCTCTGAACTCCTTGCAACAAGCTGCCCCCTTTGCTTCTGTTAGCCACAATGTTTTTTCTGGTTTTACAACCAAAATTTTTTAATTTTCTCACATACAGGTTTAGTCCTGGCTCTAACATTGACCGTGTGATTTTTTGCGTTGCTCACTCTATCCGAGACTCAGTTTCCTCACTGGTAAAATAAGGATGTTCCTGGCTGCCTTCAACTGCTACAGTGCAGATTAGAGGGGAAAAGGGCCTTCAGAGTGGCTGAGGGCCGGGTGGTCCCAGTGCACGGGAACCTCCTGCAGCCTCTCTGAGAACTTGTCGCTTCACAGAGCGCCTCAGGCCCATCCTTTGGAGGGCCGCAGTGACATATTTTAAGGAGGGAAACACAGAAAGCAGGTGACAGTAGCTCAGTGCGTACCCGGTTCCCCTTCCCCACCTCTGAATGGTGCACACAGAGGCAGAGGTGACCGACCACTGGCCAATCTATGGGCTCCACAAATGACCCTAGAGCAGCAGGCCCTGGATGTGTTTTTAAAAATCACTACTTTTCAGGGCCAGAGATTTAGCTCAGTGATTCCAGCACCTGCCTCACAAGCGCAAGGTCCCGAGTTTGATCCCTGGTACCCACCCCCCACCCCCCAAATTACTACTTTTCAGCTCAGATAGGATTTCCCCAAACACTACATATGAAGTCCCAGAGGCCCTTACTTAACATATATTTTTTCTCAGACTCGATGGAGCCAATGTTTTTACACCCTCACGGGCGGCATTAGTCGATGCCTCCCGCTGTCACCATAGCATGGAACTGAAGGGGGCTCAGGTGAGCCCTTAATGGCTAATTATCCAAGTCCCTGCCTTTTCAGTTTGGTTACAAACGGTGTAAGAGATGACTACAGAACAGGATTATTTATTGGTAGCCACTGACAAAAGCAGGCAGATGATAGATCCAAAGTATGGCCATTGAGTCTAGACCTGTCCAGTTAAAAAGTATACATTTCTTTTTGTTATTGTTCTACTGTTCCTTTTTTAAGGCATTTATTCCTAATTTTTTTGAGAGTCATAAAGCCTTTTAAGAGTATAATGAAAGCTATGAACCCTCTCCCTAGAAAATTGCACACAAACATAACATTTTGTTTACTCCAAGTTAAAAACCCCTGCTGCAAGCGGAGAAACTTTCTCTATCCCCAGTTTGGGTCAGAAATGATCTGACTTCTTCTAGGCAATGTGTCTGAATGAGGATGAGACAAGTAGGTTTTTTCAGTGATGTCCCAAGGGTCTGCATTGGCTGTTTTCTTTCTCCTGGATCCTCAAAGCTAGAAATTGCTTGGATCAGGCTTTCTTCAAAGCAGCCAGAGGAGGATGTGGTTTCCAGGAGGTGAACCTAGCCAGGAGAGGCCGTGCTCTTGATAATAGAGCCCTGCAGTAGCGTGGGGGGGGGGGGCTAACTTTGTCTTTTGTTATCCTTTTGTGCGTGTGTGTGTGTGTGTGTGTGTGTGTGTGTGATGGAGGACTGAACTTGGGGCCTTCACACTGAGCTACATCCCCACTCCACACCTCCCATTTTTGAGACAGGGTCTTGCTAAGTCACTAAATTGCCCAGGTGGAGATCAAACTTGGGATTCTCCTGCCTCAGCCTCTCAGAGTTGTGGGACTACAGGTGTGCACCACCATCCCCAGCTTGTTATTATCCTTTCAATTTTTTTCCTCCTCCCTTTACCCCTGACGATGGGCACTGTGCATATCTGCATGCACACACGTGTACCCGGTGTAAACTACTGGTACTATTATATAACATGCACAAAAATCACCCGCCCCACTCTGTCAACAGACAAAGCAAATCGTCTTGCCCCTCCACGGATAGGTCTCACTGTTGCTTTCTTGTGGCCTCTTATAATGACTGCCCTTGAATGTTCATCAAGGATAAAATGAAGAAAGAGGCCCCAGGCCTCTTGTCCCCAGTGTATGGTTCCAGTTCCATGTCCAACAGCCAGAGTGACTCCTCTGTGTTCACGTACTTCCTCTTTGGTCTAAGCCATTCTTTATGCCATCACTTTTTATTTGTTTGTTTGTTTTGGTGGTACTAGAGATCGTAGCCGTTTCACTAAGCTACAATCTCAACCATTTTGTTTGTTTACAGACAGGTCTTAACTAAGTCTCTAAATTGCTCAGGCTGGGCTCAAGCCTGTGTTCCTCCTGCCCCAGCCTCCCAGAGTGCTAGGATCACAGGAGTGCTCCACCATGCCCGACTACACTATCACCATTATTCAACAACTTTACTAAGGATCTACAAGGCATGAGTTAAGAGTACTAAGATAAGAATTTCTGGGCTGGAGATTTAGCTCAGTGGCACCTTGCCTGCTTCACAAGCACAAGGTCCTGAGTTCGATCCCTGGTACCAAAAAAAAAAAATTTCTACTTTCATGTGAAAGCTCATTCTTCATAGAAAAGTATGTTTTGAAAGCCAGTTGAACAGGTCATGTTTCAACTTAAAAACCTTCACAGGCTCACCAATGGTGACAAAATCCAGACTCCTTAGCACAGAAGTGGGGGTCCACTAGGTCCGTAACTCAACCTCCTCTAGCATCATCCCTTCTCTCTTTGTGCTCTGTCCAGACACACTGAACACCTTACCACCGAGAACACACCCCCAAACCTTGATGCTTCTTTCCACATGTGGTTTTCTGACCCTGGTCACCTGAATCCGAATCACAACGGTACATAACAGATGCTCAATAAATATTTGTTAAATCAATAAAAAGAATGAATATAGCAGCAGAGGGAGTAGCGGTGTGAGGATTAAAACTAGTGGAATTGTACAAAAAACCCCTCAAAACATTAGGAACTGGGAACTGGGGTAATAAAATCAGGATGACCAGATTTTTATTTGGAGTTTACAGCTCAGAATAGGATTGAGTTTCTCTGCTAACACATAATTCGCCCACCATCCACTAATATCATGAGACAAGGTACTCTCAAATATTTCTCCAGGAAGTTTTCAGGAAATAGGATATGAGTAGATTTACATATGAATGCATCTTATATTCAACCAGTTAAAATCAAAGCAAGAACTATAATGCATTTCAAAGCGCTAGCGCTCAATAGGCATGTGATTGTTAGGTGTGGATTTCACAAGCTTGAAGCGTTTGGCAATGGAACAGTAATCTCCGAATACTGACACGGCTTACGGGAGGCCCGAGAGCTCTCTAAGCCATCTCCATCTTTTTCATGCAGGGCCCACTGCTCTCACCTCTTTTAGCAAGGTTCCCTCTTCAAGCCTCAAGCGCTGGGGTTGCCATAGCGGCACTAGGCCCGCTTTTTCTCCGCCTCCTTCCAGCCCCCACCTCCCAGCTTCCAGTAGTCCAATCACCGACTCGCAATCGTATCGCTGGCACCCGGGGTCTCTTAGGCAACAATGTGTGGTCTCTTGATTGGCCAGGGCATCGAAGAGGGCTGGTTCCAAAACTGGGCACAGAGATAAAATGAAAAGGTGTGGGCGCCAAGCGAGTGGGAGGGGTTACAACATCCCCACTGCCAGGACTAAGACGCATCCAGTCTTGAAAAATGTGGCTTGACTGAAAACGTTCATTCAAGACAAGCGGGAATTGTGTCCCAAATCAGCCCTTACCTACTGAGCATGTCCGGTTACATTGTTCTGGCATTCCGGAGTCCCGAAATGCAAACACTCCACTTTGCCATGTTTTAAGAGTGACCGATAGGTAAAAGAGAGCTGGAGGAAAGAGAATTGGAGACTGGTCGATGGGAGAATAGCACCCGCAGCAGGAAGTGGAAGAACGTGGGGAAATTACCCCAAACACCATATACATGCTTCCGCACAATTTCAATTTATTGGATTAAGTAATTCAGACAGGAAGCTGGGTGACAGGTACATCAGGGAACCAGCAGATGACGTGCCTTAATAAGAATAACTCTAAATTTGGGGGTCTTAAAAATCCAGTCTAATTTAATTAATTAAATTTATCGAGCACCCATTCTGTAATAAAGACCAGAATGAGAATATGGGGGGGGGGGTTGTCTAGTGAAGAAAATCAGTAAATGCAGTGTGTAACTAATGGAAGGCTTTACAGTCCTAACAGCTGTGATAGAACTATAAGAATACAACAGAGTTCAAATTCCCAGATCCAAGCTTTTTCAGCTAATGCACAACAGCTCTTACCCACAGCAGACAGCAAACAACAGTAACAAGATTGCCAAACAACAACAGCAGCAGCAAAATAACAACTCTCCTCATTGTTTCCTAAAATAATGTGCTCTCCTCCCACATAAGCACATATACAAACCTTGTGTTTATGTTGTGTCTGCTACTTTTTAAATAGGTAGCATTTAAATATCGCCAATTTAAATAGAAAAAGGAAAATGGAGCCCATAGAGGTTGTTGCTTTCCCTATGTTCGAAAAGGATCAGGAGGTGGCCAAACTGAAATTAGAACCCAGGTAGTATGAATTCCAGCCTGGTGGTTTTTCCACATGACCAGTTTGTATGGAAATGAATAAACAAAGCCTTTGGGGGTGTGAGGGGCGGCCCAGGAGTTATGTACTTGTAATACTAAATTACCATGCATTACCAGTTAACATTTATGGTTTCAAAACGGGTTCATCCAGAAAGAGACCGGTTTTCACAGTGTCAAGAGCGCTGAGCCTCTCTGTAAAGTTTCCGCTCGTAAAGATTCTATTGGTGAAGGAAAGCAACACCCGGCATGGAGAGCATCTCACTTTAGCCTTGTGGGATTTGAATATTTTTATCCATAATAAAAGGTCCCTTTTGTTTCTTGTCTGGTCAGCATCTTCTGGACCGCCTTCTGTCCTGCAGCTCTTCCTTTTGACTACTGTTTCCCCAAAGGGGAGTGAGTCACCCTGTTCCCTCTGTGTTCATATTAAGCATGCAAGCTCAGCTCAGTGTCTGTGATACTCAGTATTGTTTTCACCTGGAACAACTGCAACATAAAGTAAAGCTTAGAGACTTTCATAAGAAACATTGTATATTTCTTTTTTAAAATGCTAACTTTTGCCTGCTTGTGTGTTTAATAGATACAGTGGAAGTCCCTCTTGTGTACTTCCCAAATCTCATTCCCCACCCTGTCTGCCTAGAAGTCATCATTGTCATAAATCAATGTGTAGTCTTCTTGCTCCTTTTTATGATTTTATCATATATTATAAATTATATTATGTATTTGCCCTTATCAGGCTAGGCTTTAAAAAAGAGAGACACCGTTTACATATTTTACAGTCAGCTTTTTCACTAAATATTATATTTCTGAGATTTAATCTTTTGATACATCCATGATCATTTCTACATCATTCTCACATCCAGATGTGAGCTGTGGTGTGTCCTATGCCTGACAGTTTTTGCAGGACGATGCGTAAACTGAATAAAAATACACCTAGCACCAGGTCTCCAGAGATTCCTCAGCCACAGTGGGTCTGGAAGGAAACAAAGCAGGCACACAGAATTCCCACACTATCTGACACATTTACCCTCAGCAGAAGCACCGCTGGCTTCCTGGGACACGCTGAATCAGCCTAAGGATCAATATTACCTAGAATTGCCTAGAATCAGTGTAAGGATCAATATTACTTTTGTGGCTTTTAAGATTTTGAGACAGGGTTTTGCTATGTGGTCCAGGCTGACCTCGAATTCAAGATCTTCCTAGCTCAGCCTCTTAAGGGGTTAGATTAAGGTCGCTCACTACCACGTCCAGATAGGATCAATATTACTTTTTTTAAAAGTTACTTAACAAATAGGTATTTTTTAATATCAAATTGCCCTAATGTAATTTATTGAATAGTCTGTTTTCTCAACAAGTAAGTATTTATTAGGGAACCTTTTTTTTTCTTGGTACAGGGGATGAACTCAGGACCTTCAGCTTGCGAGGCAGGCGGAGGAACCACTGAGCTAAATCCTCGGCCCTAGGAAAACTTTCATTTTAGATCTTATTTATTATCCTTGTTCACATAACACACTTTTTTGAGGTTTAAGCTCATGATTCTTCAATACTTAATATTTGAGGAATTTTTTTTTTGGTACCAGCGATCGAACTCGGGTCCTTGTGCTTGCGTAGCAGGCGGTGAAACCACTGAGCTAAATCCCCGGCCCCATCTTATCCATTTTTAAGTGTAAAATCAGTAGTGTTAAGTACGTTCATGTTGTACATAAGATCAATATTACTAAGGCATGCGTGCTACCAACAGGACAAAACGATAGTAAGTTGAAAAGAGATGAAAAGGAAGAGAAAGCTAGGTGAAACAATGTAGCAAAAAGAAAAGCAGCCATTGCCTTGAATGAATGCGGACTGTCATTAGGACACAGCGTGGCTATGGGAAAGCCACCTAACATTCGTGGGTGTTTGAAAACACGTTGTTTAGAGGATCTCTAAGAACTCTTTCCACTCTCAAATCATTACGTAGAAAGATGAGAAACCCTTCCTAAGGAGAAAAGATGGGGCTTGCCACCAAAACCACGGGCTCCACCTGTTTATTTAAGGGCTTGGCAAAGAAGCTAGCTATAAACTATTCGCAGGCAAGTACTCTGTTTCAGTGTGGAGCGCTGCAGCAGGCCAGCGCTACCGGCACCAGTCACCCGCAGCACCGCTGATCCCGGGTCTCTAGGCCGGCACAGGAGCTCAGAGCAGGTGCTGGAGTCTTGCAGTACCAGCCTTCCAGGCTCCGGCAATCGCGGGAGCCCCGCCTTGCAACAGAGAGACTGCTTTGCAAAGAGCGCCGAGCTCATTTCAGACGCACGCTTCCAGGGGTAGGAACCACCACTTGGTGCGGGACTCTCAAAGCATCACCCCCGGCGCGCGCTGGAGAACGCGAAGTACCCCGCCAACCCGACGCTGCGGGCCTCTAACCCCCCGAGGCTCGACCGCGCGTGCGCGGCACGCCTGCGCAGTGCGTTCGCGCGCACTCGCTCCGGAGGCCGCGCGCCTCGGCGCTCGCGCAAGCTCGCGGCGGCTCCGAGGCGCGCGCCGGCGTAGAGCGCCGCTCCCGGTACCTCAGAGACCGGCGGCCGCTCGCGGCCGGCGCTGCAGCCCCGGGGAGCCCGGCGCGCAGGTGTGAGGTGAGCCCCGCAGAGCCAGGTGGGTGAGAAGGGAGCGGCGAGTGTAGAGACCGAGGAGGCGACGCGGCGGTTGCCTGTGCTCCGCCTAACCCCGCGCGGAGGAGCCGCCGGCAGCCCGGCACCTCCTCCTCAGGGATCGTTCTTTCCGTCGCGGCCAAAACAAAAGCCTCGGGCGCCGGGCCGGGCGGGGGTCGGGGTGGCTTCTCGGAGCTGGCAGGGCCCGCGGTGGGCTGGGGGCCCGGTGGCGACGCTGAGTTCGGGGCTGGGAGTGGAGGTGGGGGAGACGCCTCGGGAGACGGATCGCCCGGTGCGTCCCGCGTCCCGCCCGCGCCGGGCAACCTGTGCGAGTGCGGACGCGGCGGGCTCCGACCCGCGGCCCGACCGGCTCCGGGGACCCGAGCGCCCCGGGCCGAGACCCGCGCGGGAGCGTGGGTGCGAGGACAATGCGCCCCGCGCCCGCGCTGCCGGCCACCGACCGGAACGCGCGAGGACGGCGCCCCCGGCCCGGCGCGGGTCGGCATCGCGCCGACCCTCTCCGCCCGGTGCCCGAAAGTTGTCTCCTCCAGCCCATCAGTTTGCAAAGTCGCTGGCTCCCTCCCCAGTGCCTTCCTCGCCCGCCACCGCCGCGGGGCTGGGGATGTGGGTCCTGCTGCTGGACCGGGAGTGTACGGCCCCCGTGATAGAGGCAAGCACCACAGAAGTCTTGGGTCATTTGGAGAAAACTAAACAACCTCCTGGAGGCTTTTTGCATCTTAGGAGTCCCCGCCTGTAAGAGAAAGAGGGCTTTTTTTAAGGGGAGGGGGGAAGAGATAAAAGCACATGCTGTTAATTTAGGCCGAGGAGTAGTTTAAAGTTACAAAAAATTATGAAAGCGGTCTGCCTTTTTTTTTTTTTGGCCCAGGGTAAATGAAGACTTGACTTTCGGTTTCCTTCTGAATTTAGGCAGCAGAGCAGACAATCCGCAAAAAACTTGCGTTAGAAAAATCGTCTTGGGAGACCTGGAATGTTTGTTAATGGGAATTGGGTTACTTTGCAAAGCCCATACATAAGGCGCAAGGAAACAAAGACTTGACTGACATTGAGGATATTAACTCCTTCCTTAGTTGCTTTTTAGCTCTTAGTGGTGTGCTGGTTGCATTGTAGGCCAGAAAAGGAATAGATAAATCCTTAGTTCTGTAATTAAAAAGCAGGTAGTCCTAAAGATAATGCTTTCCATCTTTGCTTTTAAACAAATCAATATTACCGTTTTCCTCTAGGAAACAAAAAAACATCTACTTGAATTACCAAACCACAGCATAAAGGTAAAAATATTCAGAGTAGGGGAGTCTAGGAAGCAAGTGTAAAATCTTGACTGGGTGAACTTGGGAGAATAGAACTGAAGATAAAATATAACTTAGATGCAGCCCTTACCCTATTGCTCTGCATTTAGTAAAACAACATGTGTTTCAGCCCCAAAATGCTTGAAACCGTTAGGAAAATAAGTAAATTATTGCTAGAGCCTACCATTCTGCCCTCCCTTCCTCCTACTTTTTTCCTCTCACCCACTACTAATCTTCTCTAGCTCCATCTAGCTTCTAAATCCATAGCACTGCCATTAATAAAAGCCTCTCAGAGGCTGAGGCAGGAGGATCACAAGTTTCAGCCCAGCCTGGGTAACTTAGTGATTTTAAAAGGCCTGGGAACATAGCTCAGTGTGAAGGCCCTGGGTTCAGTCCCCCAGTACCACCAAAGGAGAGGACAGAAAGACAGACAGTCTGTGTAGGTACTTAGGTACTTTATTCCTTTCCTTGTCTTTGAGCTTTATTATTGTGCTTTGAGCATTTAGGTGGATTTTTCTTGGGAGTTTCATGATTGTGATATTTGAAGCAGAGAAGGCTGAGTTTAATAGCAGAGTGTGCTTTCTTTCTTTGCATAGTACAATGTGAAAGCTTTATCATTGGAGGAGAGAGGAGTTTTTGCACACAATGCATTGTTTCCCACTTGACTTCCAGAAAACAATATCTACCCGACTTTTATTAATTTGTTAGTAAGAGTCTAAGATTTTATACTCAAAACTTCTTAGCATATGAGTTTATTGATATCAGGGTACTGTTGACTATTTTCTTTGGGAGACAAGTGGCTCTTAATGCAGATTTACCGTCATTCACTATAGAGTGGTGTTGGCCTCTAGTTTTTCTTTAACCCCAAACTCTAGAATTAGTGTGCTTAAAGCTGCACACAAAAAAGAGCAATAGGACAAAAAGAGTGGCTTGGAAAATTCATACTGGAGAAATTATTCAGTGTAGATTGAGGGGAAATGTGTAGCAAGGTCTTGAAAGAAAATGAGGTTTTCTGTAAGGCTAGGAATAACTGTTTGAAGGGTAACAGCTTTTCACTAGCTAGGAAAGAGTTTTAACTATTGTGTCAAAAATGAATTTCATCTCTTGGCTTTCCAGTTTATCATGCTGAGAATTATTGACAGATTGGTAGATCCAAGGATGCATTGCAAATGAAATGTGAGATGAATATAACTAGGCTAGTGAGCTTAAACGATTCTGGTTCTCAAATTTTATCTCACTGAAATAATTCTGTAGTCAAGGAATACAAACTATACAACCTTGTTGAGGGAGAGAAAGCTCAAGGGCTTGATATTTTCTGATAAAAATTTGGAGAATTTTTCAGATAAACATTTTAATTGGAAAGGAAAGTTGTGCTGGAATTTCAGCCTTTTTTTTTAAGTGAATTTATCCATCATTTAACTTTGTTTTATTTCTAGGCTAACTTTTAAAAGATCTTACACTTTGTTTAGTCTTAGCATTTAATAATTTGTAAATTGGGCTGAACTTTATGCATATCATTCTTTTTTTTTTTTTTTTTTTGGTACCAGGGATCAAATTTGGGACCTTGGGCCTGCAAGGCAGGTCCTGGAACCACTGAGCTAGATCCCTGGCCTCATATCATTCATTTTAATTGTGAATCGAGATGTCTTTTTTTTTTTTTAGCCATATCATTCAACATCTTGAGATTAGATTTGTTATAATCAGGAGATGAGAAAATGGGCTTTGAAAATTAGAGACCTGAAGTAAAAAGGTCAGAAAAGAGACGCTGAGATTGGTAGGAATCTAGGTCCTGTGAATTAAGTATGAAGCTACATACACTTTGTCATAGCAACCCGGAGCCAATATTTTGAGAATGAATTCATGATTTAAATAATTAGATACGGAAAACAAAAGGCCAGGGACCACATGGATTTTAGGAAAAGGAAAGTAACCCTGGCACAATGAGTGTATATTTTACCTCTTATAATAAGACAGTAATTTCTTTCAGAGGAGAAACTTTCCTAGAGATAGACATCACTAATCCTTGCAAGTGCTTTCTTGGAAAATTTATCTGAAAGACAAAGATTATCCCTTTATTTTCCCATTGAGAGCAATCTCTGTGTGTATATACAGCATTTACTGTACCTTGAGACAGCCTTTAGATAATATTCTTGAATTGGAAATACAAGATGTTATATTTATTCACAGAGTGTTAATAAAATTAAGCCGGGGATTTAGCTCAGTGGTTTCGCTGCCTGCTGTGCAAGCACAAGGACCTGAGTTCGATCCCCGGTACCAAAAAAGAAAATTACATGTAGCCAGGCCTAGTGGTGCACACCCTGTAATCCCAGCACTTGGGAGGCTGAGGCAGGAGGACCACCTTGAGTTGCAGGCCAGCTTAGGCCACATACTTCAAGGCCAGTTTGAACTACATAGAGACCCTGTCTCAAAAAACAAAATAACAACAAAAAATTACATCTGAACTAAAAATGACGGAGTGGATACCTTTCTGTTGAGAGAATGTTGGACTAGAATTGCTAGACATAATCTTTCATTGTCAAATCCTTTCTTTCTTTCTCTTTCTTTCTTTTTTACTTTCTTTCTTTCTTTCTCTCTCTTTCTCTCTTTCTCTCTTTCTCTCTCTCCTTTCTTTCTTTCTCTCTCCCTCTTTCTTTCTCTCTTTCTCTCTCTCTCTCTCTCTTTCCTGTGCCGGGGATTGAATGCAGGTCCTTGCGCTTGTGAGACAGGCGGGAGAACCACTGAGCTAGATCCCTGGCCCCCCTCTTTTTTAAAAAAAAAATGGAACGCTTCATAAATTTGTGTGTCATCCTTGCGCAGGGGCCATGCTAATCTTCTCTGTATTGTTCCAATTTTCGCATGTGTCCTGCCAAAGCGAGCACGCCAGACCCTCTTGACAAGGCCTTAGGATCCATTTTTCTTAGAATTTCTTCAGGGATTCAGCTTGCTTTCCTCTTCACAGTTCCTGAGTTCTTTGGGTCTGACTTTGCAACTTTCCAAAGTTGTAAACTGTGCTGTCCTTCAGGACAAGTACTCAGCTGATCTTATTTTAAGGACTTGTACTTATTATCAGTAAAAGAAAACTCAAACCTAAGGCCTTGAGAGTGCTAGGAAAGTATTCTACCACTTAATCTAAAATGAGTTTTCCAAATATTTTATATGCCTCTATGGAGAAGTGAAAGTACCTCTTTTCCCACAGATGGTAGATGAGCAGCATTGTCATAACATTCTTGTTGCATGGGCCTTGTGCCTGAAACTGCTCACTCCAGGTGTGTTAACCAAGTAGGTCCTTTGCTTTAGTTCAAATACTGCAGACTCTTGTAATGAAAAGACAGTATCACTAAGAATGCCCAAAACAGCTCTTTACTGTTTATTTAATGAGTTGCTATATCTTGGCAAGATCTTTTGTGGTCCAGAATCCTCTATATCCTGCAAGTCTGAAACTTTAATTTAGACCTTTTCCTTGGGTGACCTTGGCTTAGGAAAAATGGCACACTTGATCCTGGTTAGGAGTAGCTATGTCATGTTACTGAAGTGTGATTTGGAATATGGATCAGAAGCTTTAAAACATATGCATGCAATTTGATTCAGTTGATTTATTTTTGTGTTGAAAAATCAAGTTTTGAATCATATTAAATTGATCATTACATTTTTGCTTTTCTTATTACCTGCAGTAGGATAAGTAGTGTGTCCCTTGGCTTGTTTTAAATAACAATTCAACTAGTTAAACCCTTCAACTAGTATTTACTCTTGTCAGCTAGTCAGCACACATTCTTTAGATTTAGCAGTTACTCTGTACACAAAATAATGTAACATTGGTTCTTTTATAAAATTCTGTAGCACATTTATATTATTTTAAATAATTGAAATAGTTTAATTATATTCCTCATACATATTTTTTTCTGACAAAAGTGTGTTATGAGTACATAATACTGTTTTGTAAACTTACTTAATTTAACTTTTTATTATCATGTCAATAAATACGGGCCAATGGTCTTTTGGTGTTGGAGATGAATGCAGAGCCTTGCACGTGCTAACTATGCACTCTACCATTGAGCTATGCTCATTATTTTTAGTGACTACATAATATTCTATTATGTGATTATACCATAATTTCTTTAACTAGTCCCTTATAGGTAGACTTATAGGTTGCTTCCAGTTTTTTGTAATAAACAATGTTACTTTATTATTTTAGCTATGCAAAATGTATAATTGTGTATTATTAGAATAAACTATAAAATAGGTTTTCTGGATTGAATTGTACATTTAAGGGCTTTTGATTCAAGAAACCGTATTTTAAAGTTTTTATTTATATTTTGTGGTGCTAGGGATTGAACCCAGGGCCTCACACATGCTAAGCAAATGTTCTACTGCTGAGCTACATCCCAAGCTTTTAAGTAGCCATTTTTAAACTGCAAAAATACAAATACTAGATTGACTTTAGTCAAAAGACCAAGAAGCTATAAGTCTACTAGAGTCCATTTTTTTTTTTTTTTTGGTACTGGGGATTGAACTCAGGTCCTTGCACTTGCGAGGCAGGCGGCGGAACCACTGAGCTAAATCCCTGGCCCTAGAGTCCATTTTTTAAAAAGTATCAACTAGTTTACATTCCTAACCAAAGTATTTGAAAATGTTCCTTCCCCTATACCTCTCCTATTCTGTTCTATCATTGTTATATTTGTGCATCTGATTCCCAGAAGTGTTATGTTTGCATTTTTCATTATTAGTAAAGTTAAATATCTTTTCACGAATTTATTGGCTATTTGTATCTCTTTTTAAAATTTATATCTTATTTTTATTTTTTATTTTTTTGGTACCAGGGATCGAACTTGGGTCCTTGTGCTTGCGCAGCAGGCAGCGAAACCACTGAGCTAAATCCCCGGCCCTGTATCTTATTTTGTATTAAAATGTTCTAATTTTGTTTTTATTTTTAAACTCATGTATATTATTAAATACAAATATTCTTTTACTTTTTAATTTTTCTACTTTAGGATAGTGTTTCTCCAGATCTGACCTAGAGTATTTGTAACCTGAGGGAATCACTAGAATGTGTGTCATTTGCCAGGATTCAGATTTCTTAGACCTGCGGCGAGATTCATGAATGTGTTACACTTTAAGATGGAGAACCACTGCTGCGCAAGTGCAAGGACCCAAGTTCGATCCCCGGTACCAAAAAAAATAATAATAATAATAAATAAATAAAATAGAGAACCACTTTGAGAGGGTGTGAAAATTCTTTAAAAACTTTAATCTGCATATTTTCTTTTTTGCTTACTAGATTCCACTCTTCCTTCTCCCCTTTTTAAATAATTATGAACAATAATCTTGACATATTGAGATTATTTTCTTTCTGCAGTTTAACAAATTTTATAAAAGTATTTTGATATAGGTAACTTGGCTGAGATGCATAGGAAGCACTTTTATAAGAATGTGGCATACTTTACTTGCAAGTGAGGTAAAAGGAATAACAGGAAATCAGGTAAAATAGATGAAGTAGACAGAAGTATAAGAGGGCATTTCATGTTGTTTCAAAAATGCAATGAAGTTTGATCAGTGTCTTCCTGAAGTTTTAGTCTTCTTCAAGTAGTCTTTGAACCATAGGTATGAAACCCATAACTACTTGGAAAAGAGATTAATCTAAATGAAAATTTTGAAATTCTTGGCATTGTATTCATATACTGAATATAGGGAACAGCATTCCCTTTAATTTTAAGTTGCTGCATAAACAACTACAAAGCTTTCAACTGTTATTTGACATATATTTAATATGTATGATTGTTACCATGTTGCAAAGTAATTAAGCTTAAATATGTTTTTGTCTATTTTAATATCAGTTTTCTATAGCCAGACCTCAACTTTTCTGGGACCAACCCGAAAGGAAAAAGATAGGGCAGATGAGAAACTGTCACAAATCTCTGGTGTAGAGTGTGGGGAGAGTTGGATTTTTTGAGCAGGGATTGCTTATAACCAAGTTTTGCTAATTCTAGAGTCCAAACTCCATTTCATTCCCACTCAAGACTGTCTTCTAGAATCTGGGAAGATTCGGCCACTGTTTTACTTTCTCTAGTTTTCTGCCTCGTAACTGGAGCTGGGGATACAGAGGTCACAGTCATTGACAGTGCCTGAAGGACAGATTCTTTCCCCGGTGAGGCCAAGCTGGTTCTGTGTCTCAAGGTCTAAGCTATGATGGGTGCTAGTATTTGGGTTGTCCTGTTAAACTGAGTCTCTGAAAATTTGTCAATCTGAATTTCTCATCTTTTCTCTATTTAGGCTATCTACAGCAGATACAAGAATATCCAATGCATATAAAACAAAATTTAATAAAACCAAAGTAAACATGGATACCAATCCAAATCAGAGTATGATAGCTTAGAATATGCTTTTTCCATACCACGCCTGTCTTTTGCTCTACCCACATGCCCCAGTTGAGAATTACACATATTTTTGTCCCTGTGAAAGTAGAGACAAGGTAGAGATTGTAAGCTCAGTGGAAATAACTGGGAATCATTGCTATTCCTGTTGTGATTTTTTTAGGCATGATTTCTGTTCTCCTTGCAGCCTGACTGTGTGCAGTGGCCATTTATTGGTTCAGTGGTTCTCATTCAAGGACAACATCAATGGTATTAAAATTTTATGCCATCTACAAGGGATGATGTAATGGTAAAAAAATTGACTGATACTACTTTCAGAACCTTCTGTTTGTTTGGTATTAGTTAATAGATTTAGCAGTTCTAGCAAATGTAATTCAGTAATGAAAATGCCTAATGTTTGGTACTGTTTTACCATTTATAAAGTGTTTTTACATATATTACTTTTATCTCTAATTCACTCATCATTCTGTGAAAGAGGTGTTATTGGAATCATTTTTCAGGAAGAAAAATTATAGGTTCAGAGAAGTTAAGTGATATGTTTACATTCATACAGCTAGTAAGAGGCTCGAATCTGCCTTTGATTTTTCAGACCTTTTACAGATCTGTCAAATCAATTCATGTAAAAATGTACAGTTAATGATTAAAATGCATAATAAATTTTAACTAATTTAGGTTATAACAAATTTTATTTAAATAAAATTTAGGACAAAAGCATAAGAATTTTTCAAAATAGCTCAGTTATATCTTTTGACAAATGAAAACCATCATAGAGAAGAAGTTAAACCATGTGTTATACAAGCAGCTGAGGAAAGAAACTTAAATTTGCCTTGAAATGCTATTTCAGGGCTGTTTTAGTATATCTAGAGCATAAATGATAAAGTAGAAAAACTATATTATATCTTTATGAAGTACCCATGCATTTTATCTGTTAGATGTGTCATCAAAGATTTTGATGCTGAGATGACATATTTTGAGAAGAAATGACTGATTTCTCCCCTTTTAATAATTCTTTTCAGATATTTCAATCAAAGGAAGAAATAGTTCTCCTAAGATGGAATCTGTGATTTGGGAATGTGGTTGATCAACTTGATATGTTGGCCAAATGTGCCCTATGTAGTAAAATGAAGAGACAAGATGATGTCATTTTCCCATATTGTGAAACCAAAAACAGATGCCTTTTGTGAGACCAAGCTAACAAACCTCTGATGGTACAGAGTATTTAACTGTTTGAAGAACTTAACAGTGAAAGACAGAAGTAGTTTCAAGCCGAGACCTGCAGGTGTATATTGACCTGACATACATATTAAGAAAGCCTGATCATCCAAATCTAAGCAGATCCAGAAGAATGGCTATAAGTTGGATTATCTTCTATCTTTGGCTCTTGACTGTGTTTGTGGGGCATATAGGTGGGCACAGTTTATTTTCTTGTGAACCCATTACCTTGAGGATGTGCCAAGATTTGCCTTATAATACCACCTTCATGCCTAATCTTCTGAATCATTATGACCAACAGACAGCAGCGTTAGCAATGGAGGTAAGACTTAATGTATCCTTTGACTTATCTTAAAAAATAACTTTATATTTATTGCCCTGTCAGTAATACTGTTTTCACCTATATCCTGTACATTAAAAATTTTATGTATTTCGATTCATATTCCGAGAGATTGAAGAATCTAGAACATGGGAGAAAAATGCCATTCAGAAATTCTAAATTGTCCTAGTTATACAATAACATTGTTATTTACCTAATAAAAAACTTTAGATAAAAGAGCAGAATATGGTAATTGTGCAGTTTAGTCATTAAGTATTGCATATAATGTGATTTTAAAAAACAAATTATTTGAATTTTTTAAAGATGATTTTCTGGTCATACTGTATTCATAATTTAAGAATAACTCTAAAGCATTGAAAAAGTTTTTGTTTGTGGATTTATTTGTTTTGACCTCAGAATTTTACGGAAGTTTGTGCCTTATTTGAATTTTTTAAATGGTAATTCTTTAGATACTTCTTAATAACTTTAGAAACTATGGCAAATTAAGGGATGTAGTTAATAATAGTAATAATAATAGGGCCGGGGATTTAGCTCAGTGGTTCTGGCGCCTGGCTTGCAAGCGCAAGGTCCCAAGTTCGATCCCCGGTACCAAAACAAAAACAAAAACAAAAAAATAGTAATAATAATAATAATGTACACATAAAATATGTGTACATGAGTGTCTGTAGTGATTTTCGAATTGAGGGCAAGAATATATTTACCAAACAAAAACGGGAAAGGCAATGTACAGTGGTGGCGAAGAGCATGGAGACCCTACCGCTTTGTGGCAGTATTACTTTGGCCACGTTACCTGACTTCCTCACCAAATTTCTTTGCTTATAAAATAAGGGTAATCACACAGGCTTTTGTACACAAAATGAAAATACATCTGTACAGTATTTGGCATATAGCAGGTACTCTATAAGTGAGAGTTATGTCTTATCCATATTTTCTTAGTAATTTGGCTATATAATAAAATTTAGAGGAAAATTTTTATATGTTAGTCTTAAGTCCATTTGTACAGTGCTTTCAGTAGATGGAAGCCTACATGTTTTAGAATTCTTCATTTTATAGTAAAACTCAAATGTTCATTACTTCAAGGTACACTGACATAAATCTGTGGGAAAATTTGTAGAAACATTGCTAGATTTTGAAATGTGAGTGGTGTTATGGTGTCCTTCCATATACCAAATATTTGAAGATCTGTGGTTGAATAAAACATTGTCTGTTCTTCTCTTATTACACAAGGCCCAACTCTGAAAAGAGAGATTTGGTATGGCCTGTCAGTTTAGGATATATGAAAAGAGGCATTGGTTGAATACAGTTAAATTGGTTTCAGTCATGGTATCCTTGATAGTCTTTGCTATATATTAGGGTTACTAATTTTCTCACTAAAAAATTCAATTAGAAATACCCTTATTTTTGGTGTCTTGTAAGTCACAACTCCTTTAGAAAGCAAATGGGCTAAAAAGAACAAGTCATACAGATGTCTTACTGACGGGTTCAACTTGGGATGTTTAAAAATAAGACCTTGAACAAGTGACTTATCATTCCTCAGTCTTGTTTTCTTGCTTTCTCAAAAGAGAATTATAGTGAAAATGTAGGATATATAAAATAGAGGATTTATAGATAGCACAATTAGTAGTGCACAATAGGTGATATGTAAATGTTAATTCTATTACAAATTTTGTGTCTAAGTTATCTGGAGAGAATGACTAGAAAGAGGATGGATTTGCTCCAAATCAACTTGTATTTTAATTGTAGATTTGTGGGGCATTCATAATGATGGCACGCTTTTCTAACCTCTTCTCAGATGTGCCCAAATAGTCTAGATATTTCATTGGCAGTGGGCTTGCCTCTGTAGAATTTCAGACATTTTAGGGAGAGCCCCTAAGTGGGAAATAATTTCTAAGACAAGGCTCCAGTTATTTTTATTTATTTATTTATTTATTTATTTTTGTGGTACTGGGGATCGAACTCGGGACCTTGTGCTTGTGAGGCACGCGGCTGAACCACTGAGCTAAATCCCACCCCGGCTCCAGTTATTTGAAGTAATGTTGGGCATAGTTGCTTACTGCATGGTTGACATAGCAGGGCAATGATGCCACTGACAGAAATATTAGACAGTTGAGAGCATAAAGTTTCTGTACTAGCAAAGGACATGAGAACTCAGCAGACTGCACAATATGCTCACAGCTGCTGATGACACCTCTACCTCTATCCCTCTGCTGATCCAGGAATTCCGCATGTGTCCTCTAGTGTTTACCTGGAACAAGTAATTGGAGCAAACAATCCATCACACACTTGAGTGTTCCCTGTGAGAGGAGATGAACTGACTTTCCTAGGTATAGCATTTGTGGGCCCAGTCTTAGGCTTCTTAGGGCCTCCTGCTCTACTTTTGCTGAGTCAAAATAGGTAAGAGAGTACAGAATCTTGAGTTCTTTTAAATTTGATCATTTATGTTCAACAAGATTGATGTTCTCACATTTTATTTTATTTTTTTTTGGTACCGGAGATCGAACTCGGGTCCTTGCACTTGCAAGGCAGGCGCCGGAACCACTGAGCCAAATCCCCGGCCCTCTTGCATTTTATATACAGTACTCCTAGTCTGTACATTCAGTTGAAATTGGAACATAGTGTCAGTCCATTAAGTTGGAAAACAAAATAAGTTTCTTGTTGTTTTTTTTGTTTGTTTGTTTTTTTGGTACTGGGGATCGAACTCGGGTCTTTGCGCTTGTGCAGCAGGCGGTGAAACCACTGAGCTAAATCCCCAGCCCTACAAAATAAGTTTCTTGCCTAACGTATTTGTTCTTTCTTTTCCTACCTTCCAAAACATACACATCTATATGCACACATACAGAAATTTTTAAAGTTCATAATGTGATGTTTCTCTTTTTCTCCCATCAGTGGTTTTTTGATAGAGTGAAATTTTTTAAATTTCTGAATCTTTCAAACTATTTTGAGCTGTCCCTACTGAGTAAATTTTTGGGAACTATCCAGCATGGAGTAATAATCAACAAATTGTCAGTAACTGTCTTTACTGAACCACATATAAAGTATTTCTAACTATAGTGCTAATAAAAAAGATCTGAGCAGGCTTTTCCTTTTTATTGATTAATTAAACCAAATTGAATAAGGAGGGAACATGTTAATGGAAGAAGCACTAGGATCCGGCTAGAGAGAAGACTTGGATTCTGACAGTAACTGGTTTTGTGATCTCTGTGTGTTATTTTTCTTTAAGAAGTGACTTTTTCTCCTGTCCCTTTCTCAGGGTTATTGTTAAGCACATAGAGATAAGCGACACTTATATTAAAGAACTTTAAAAAGTTAAAGTGCTGTATGAATACAGAGCAATATTCTTTGTTGCCTTTCACTTTGTTTTTATTTTTAGTTATTGTGTGGAAGAGCAATCTTTAATCTCTTAAGGCTGTTGATTGCTTGTCTCCTTTTTTAAAGAAACTGGGGCTTTATATGATAATCACAGGAAAAACTCCTGGGATGGTTTGTGTTTGTCTCTATTTCCTGTTTTTCTTTGTCATTCTCATTAAAGATTTATTTTTGAAAGTTTTCTATTAATGAGAGCAAAGGAAACTGGCAGCAGGGTAGATCCTAGTAGAAACAGCAAGCCTGAACATCCTTGGCATCTTTTTATTTAAGAAAAAAATATATATAATTTTTAGTTGACATATGGTAATTATACATATTTATGGAGTGCAGTGTGAGATTTCAGTACAGTACATATATACAATGTGTAATGATCAGATCAGTGTAATTGGTGTATTTGTAACCTTGGACAATTTTCATTTCCTTGTGTTGGAAACCTTCAAAATGTTCTCTACTCGCAATTTTTGAAATATTTAATTAATTGTCAACCGGTCATCCTATTGCACTACACAGAACATTAGAAGTTATTCCTTCCACCTAACTGCATCCCTCTAGCCAGTAATCATCTTCTCTCCGTCTCTTCTAGCCCCCACCTTTCCCAGGCTGTGGTAGCCACTGTCTGGTATATTTTATTGTGCATTAAGAATAAAGTATATTTGAACCAGTCTCCCAGTTACCTAAACTCAAATTTTAGTTTTTTAAGAAACTCTTTACTATTGAAATTTTATAGAAAAAGTAATCTCTTTGAAAATATATAAACAGAGTACCTCAGTCACTTTCTCATTATCACCAAGTATCCAGTGAAATCCAAATTATTCTTCAGTGTTTCCTAGTTTTTTTACATTGGCTTTTTCAAATCAAGGTCCATACATTATATTAAGTCCCTTAAATTTCTTTTAACTTTTTTAGATTTCCTCTTCTTTCCCATTCTGTTTTTTCTTGTAATATTTGTCCTATAGTTTCCCATAGTCTGTATTTTCCTGATTGCATTCCCGTGGTGCTATTTACCATGGTCCTCAGTCTCCTTTATTTTCTTTTAACAAGATAGTTCAGAGGCTTGATTAGATTCAGGTTTGTTTTTTAATTTTTGAAAAAATATTTCATAGGTGGTGTGATATACTTCCAACAGGAGCCACATAATATCTAGTTATCATTCTTTTAATAATGTTAGCAGCCACTAATCATTTCCTAGATCAATAGTTTTATTAGGAGTTTGAAAGAAGGTAGTATTCTATCATTCACCATTTTTCTGCTAAAATGCTTTATAGAATTTCTTTATTAACTATTGAGTGACTTTCACATACAGTTACATAAGAAAGGTAGGAAAAGTAGCTGGGCACCGTGGTCTATGCCAGAGGCAGGAGGATTGAAAGTTCAAGCCCAGCCTGAGCAACTTAGCAAGACCCTGTGTCAAAATGAAAATTTTGAGCCAGCACAGCTTTAAAAAAAGGAGTAGAGGGCCAGGGATTTAGCTCAGTGGTTCCATCACTGAGGGGAAGGACCCGAGTTCGATCCCCGGTACCAAAAAAAAAAAAAAAGGAGTAGAAGAAAGAGTATGAGGAGAAGGGGAAGAAAAAGGGGTAGGGGACAGGGAGAAAAAAAAGTTGAGAAAAATACTT